AGGCCGACGCTCTATCCACTGAGCCAAACTGGTTTCGGCTATTGGTTGACTCTTATATGTGCCCTGACCAGGGATCAAACTCACTGCCTTAGCATGTTGGACTGCCACTCTAAACAACTGAGCTGCTAGGCCAGGGCTGGGGTAGGGACAACCTTGTGTCCCTCCCATCCTGGTTCAGTGGTTCCACAGCACTGTGTGGAGCTACGTCCGGCGTCTGGCATGCACCGCACCACGTGCCCCTACACCATGCCATCACAGAGCCCTGTTTTAATTACGCTATTCAGGTCACTAATTGTTGTGGGCAAGTTTGAGAACCACGGATGCCACCCTGAATTTGGCAAGTGCTACGAGGCTGGCTGTCGTCCTGGGATGGATAGATGCCCTCCTGTGCAGGAGGAGTCTGCAGTGGTGTCAGGCTGTCCCTTGGGGTCTCTTCCCGAGCCCCGGGGGGGGGCCTGGCTTTGTCACTGGGTATTCTCTGAGGTTTTCCTTTGACCGCTTGAATGTTCTTAAGGTGAAGCCAATTCCTTCTTGGTAAATGTTCTCCGTATTTTAAGGTCAGTTCATGTTTTTATTCATGAAGGAGGTGACATGCTCTGGGTGAAATAGTAGTGTGTACTTGATGCTCAGTGCTGGGGAACAAGAGGCCCTGGCCTGACTCTGGTTGCCATGGCAATGGTACTGGAGAAGAAACAAACGATGGGCAGAGCTGCCCTGAGGGGCCGCTAGGGAACAAATGAAATGGGTTTAACATCAGGGAGATCGGGAGCCTCTGCTGCGCTGCTTGGCTGCTCGGAGTGAGCTCTGCTCCAGCTCTGGTGCGCTGTGCCCCTCGCCCCAGACTGTGGACTCTTATGCTGGGCTTGGAGTGCGTGCATAGGTAGGTCTGAAGATTGGAACTGCTTTTGTAGAATGGTGGCTTTCCTAAGAGCTTAAATTGTTTACTTCACAGTAAAATTTACCATCTTACCTTTTTTAAATGTACACTTTAGTGGTATTACGTCCATAAACATTGCTGCCATCATCACCGTCCATCTCCAGATCTTTTCCATCTCCAAACTGAAATTCTCTCCCCATTAAACAGTTGCTCCTCCTTCCATAACTTTTATATAAGCATATGTATAGTATTCTTGTTCCCCATCTTCCGATATAAACACCCATTTCTTCATGTTTTTCCCTCACAATACCTCCTCGTTGTCCATACTGCCCCCCCCCCCCCTTCCTCAGAGCTGCACTGCCATCCCTGTAGTTTATTCCAGGACTTTGGTTTTTGCGGCCTCTGAGGATGACAGACAGTCCAGCAGTGAGCGTGCGGTGGGCACGTCTTTTTCTCTTTTTGCCAGCTGTCTCTGGGGCAGGTCTCTGGAAGTGGGTTATTCGGGGAGAGTAAATGCACCTGCCGTCTCGTCCCGTCACCAGGCGCCCCTCCAGAGAAGTCACTACACTCTGGCTTTCTTGCGGCAACAGTGTCTGCTCCTCTGCAGCCCTGGAGCGGGGCTTTCCATGCCCAGTGCCTCTCAGTGGTCATGATCCACTACCTTTTCTGTCTTGTGAGTCCTTATTTCCCTAGTCTGTTGTTCTGTGAATTCCTGGACTCTTTATTCAAGTTCTTTATTTATTACTAGAGGTCCAGAGCACGAATTGGTGCACCGGTGGGGTCCGGCCAGCCTGGCCCCACTCAGGACTGGGCCTGTCGGGAGGAGATGGCAGGAGGATGGCTGGCCTGTTCAATCAGGCTGGTTGGGGTTGGAGGACCAATTGGGGGTGTCGGCGGCCATGAGGAGGGCCTGTGGGTGGTGGGCCAGCTGACCCCGCCCCCAAATGGAGTAGGGGGTGCGGACCCGGGCCAACAGCCTTGGGGAGGGGCCATGGGTGACTGGCTAGCCACCCTGTCCCTAATTGGGGTGGGGTTTGGCAAGGGGAGGGGCTGCAGAAGGTTGGCTGTCTGGCCCCGCCCCCTTTTGGGGTGGGGGTGCAATCAGGGGTGGAGCCAACTGGGGGGAGGTGCTACAGGCCTATGGTGGTGGGACAGGCTTGCTGGGGGTGGGTGTTTGGCTGGCCAGCCCCATTCCTGATCAGCCAGTTCACTGGCCACAGTGGGCATCACAGCAACCAGCCATTCCGGTTGTTCCTGTGTTACAGTCGCTGGCCTTTTATTTATATATATATATATATATATATATATATATATATATATATATATATGCACCGTATTTTTCGGACCATAAGACGCACCAGTTTTTAGAGAAGGGAAATGAAGAAAAAAAGATTCTGAAACAAATAGTGTCCTAAAATATTTTATGTGCATTAAAACCCAACATCATAGTCATAAACACATGTAATCAACCCTGTAAAGTAAACAGCAGCATTTAGAACCATTTTAGAGCCGGGCAAGCACACAGAGACCACACAGAGCCGGGCAAGTAAAAAAACTTTTTTTTAAAAAGTATATGTGTAGGCTATGTTTGGACCATAAGACGCAGGGACTTTTTCCCCCCACTTCTGGGGGGAAAAAAGTGCGTCTTATGGTCCGAAAAATACGGTATATATGAATGATAGTAATCTGTATGAGTAAACGGGGAGGGGTCCTGTGTTCTGGATCAGGTTCCCTGGCGTGGCAGAGGGTTCTCTGTGACACCCTCAGGCCCTGGTGCCAGAAACTGTGTTACATGGCAGTGCTGTGTGAGGACATGGGGAAGGGCTTAGAGGAGCTTGAAAAAATATAAAATATATATATATATACCATATATGTGTATATATAGTAAACTATTACTTTATAATATGGGTTTTAGGTGAGGGTAAATTACTGTATCAATTAGGATATAGTAATTATGCCAATATTTTGCCATTTCACTTCTATCTCCCAAAAATGTTTCTTGGAACTCCTTGTTGGGAACACAAAGGAAACAGTCACCTTCTCTGTGGGCATGGAGAGTGCTGTCTGTATGTATAACATTTTTTTCTTTTCTTTTTTTTTAATATTCCAATTGATTTCAGAGAGGAAGGGAGAGAGAGAGAGAGAAACATCAACGATGAGAGAGAATCGTTGATCATCTGCCTCTTGCATACCCCCACTGGGGATCGAGCCTGCAATCTGGGCATGTGCCCTTGACCGGAATTGAACCCAGGACCCTTCAGCCCCCAGGCTGACGCTCTATCCACTGAGCCAACTAACCAGGGCAACATCTCCTTTTTCATACTAATATATAGTGATATGATAATATTTATTTTTTAAAAGAGTTTTAATTGGTTTTTAGAAAGAGAGGGAGAGAGAAAAACATTGATGTGAGAGTGATACATCAATCAGCAGCCTCCTACGGTCCCCTACCAGGGACTGAGCCTGCAACCCTGGGCATGTGCCTTTGGGAATAGGACTGGCAACCTCTTGGTACAGGGACGACGCCCAACTGACGAGGGCAGTATTTGCCATTTTCAAACGTACACTTCAGCGGCATCCGTTACATTCACAAGGTTAGACAACCATTATCTCTATTTCTAAATTCTTTCCATCACCGCACACAGAAATTCTGTCCCCGGGGAAAGGTCACGCCCGTTCGCCCCTCCTCCAGCCCTTGGTAGCTGCCTCCGTTTCCTGTCCCGATGCGTTTGCTCCAGGGACCTCTTGTACGTGGAATACGTGATATGTGTCTGGCATCTCTCACTTAGCACGAGGTTTTATAGGTTTCACCCACAGCGTGTGGCAGTGCTTCATTCTTTTTATGCCGGGGCGTGTCCTGCGGTCTGGATGGACTCCATGCTGCTGGTCTGTTCATCAGTGATGAGCACTGGGGCCATTTCCAGCTCTGAGCCACTGTGAGCTGTGCCGCTGCGGTCGCCGTGCACAGACGTATCTGGAGGTCCTTCCTCCCGCTCTTCCGGGCGCGGTTCCGGGCTCACAGCGGGCTTCTAACCCGACCTCTGCTGGCTGGCTCCTGTGACCCGGGGACTCACCTGGCCCCGTGTGTCTGACTTCCCTTATGCCCTGCCCACCCAGGTGCTCAGGGAGGTCTGGGGTGAGCTGTCCACACTCTGAGCCATAGCTTCCTCGGAAGATAAGGTTTAGAATGGATGGTCACTCAGTCATCTGTTATTTATAATACTTTTGGGTCCTGTAAGGTGACAGAGCGCCAGCCATCTGTGCTTTGCGTGCGGAGCCGTACCCATGGGGTCTCCCAGCATCCAAGTCTAAGCCCACAGCCTGCCAGACAGCAGGTGGGAGTGGGCCTCTCCCACGCCTCGCTGCCCTTGGATTGGGGACTTGTAGTGACTGGCCCTGCCTTGACTCTCCGGCTGCTCGAGGGGTCATTGCCACTCGGATTCTTTGTGTTTCTCTTCCCCCTCCTGCTGAGGCCCTGGTCTGGGGGACCAGCCTCGAGGCAGGCTCCGTTCCCATGGTGCACAGGGACTGAATCTTTCTCAGCCGCTTCCGCTGTGGCTGCCGCCCTGCAGCTTGAGGCCAGGTCCCTGCTCGGAGCCGCGTGTGACTCTCGGGGAGCGAGCGGCTCTCAGCGGCACATGCCTGTGTGACTGCCCCCCTTGTCCCTCCATCCCCATTCGCTTCTCTCCGGCCTTCTCCCTGCAGCCTCCTCCTCCAGGCATGGCGGCTCCCATGCCTCTCCCCACACTCCTCCCCTCCCTCCCTCAAGTGCCTGCATGGGGGTGGGAGCGGCCATCACTCTTCATTTGATACCGCTTGTCAGGAAACACGAGTGACGTGGCTGAGTCCTGGAAGTGACTTTGTTCAGGAAACTGCCAAGGATGGTTTTCAGGGAAATTCGGCCTTGTGTGTTGCTGCCCTGTGTAACGGAGGGACGTGTGGGGGTCTGAGTGCCTCGGGACCGTGGTCTGTCCGGTGATGTAAGCCTTCGGGGAGGGCAGGTATCTGAGAGGAGGAGGGAAGGGCCAGCTGCTGCCGGGTGCTGAGGAGAGGGGAGCAGGTTGGCGCTGAGGCTTGTCCCAGGTCCTAAGGCCCAGCGGCTGTGTCACCCCTCTGCCTCCAGGTGCCCGTACCTGCACCGGACGACCGGGGACACCGAGCGCAAGTACCACCTGCGCTACTACAAGACCGGCACCTGCATCCACGAGACCGACGCCCGCGGCCACTGCGTGAAGAACGGGCTGCACTGCGCCTTCGCCCACGGCCCCCTGGACCTGCGGCCCCCGGTGTGCGACATCCGGTGAGTGGCCGGCGTCACCGCCCTAAGCGGCTCTTCTCCCGGGCTTTGATTTTATTGTAAACCCTCTGACTGGTGCAACGCGGAGCTCACTAGGGGGAGAGGGAGATGAGCGAGTCCTCACTAAGCACAGCCCAGCTCCTGAGCTGTTAGGATTTGGGTCAAGACTGTTGTCCCAGGACAGGGGTGTGCCAGAGGGACCCAGGATGCTGTCCTGACCCCTCCAGCCGCCAGCCTCTCCAGGCACATGTGGGGGCTCCTTAAAGTGATAGAACCAAGTGACTCTCACCTTCCAGAGCCATAATCGGTGTGTTGTTTGGTCGCAGGGAGCTGCAGGCCCAGGAAGCCTTGCAGAACGGCCAGCTCGGCGGCGGGGATGGCATCCCCGATCTGCAGCCTGGGGTCTTAGCCAGCCAGGCCATGATCGAGAAGATCCTGGGCGAGGACCCTCGGTGGCAAGGTAACGCCGTGGCCGCCCCTGAGGGTGGGCAGGGGGAGCCCTGGTCCCTGTTTGTAAAGTGACCTCCACAGTGGACCTCATTGCCCTCGCTTGTAGCTCAGGTGGGGAAACTGAGACTCACTGAGTCGAGTGCTTAACCTTCAGTCCTGGGGGTGTGGACTGAGCGGGTCTGCACCCAGGCATCTGGCCCCCCGGCCACTTCACACCACAGCTTCTGTGGGGGGAGGGGAAGGCTGCTGTTCATGGCGCTCCCTGCCCTGCCCTGCGGGCCTCTGCGTGGCCTTCAGCTCAGCAGCCTGAGGTCCCTGGGGGTTGTCTGAAGTGTGGCCATGTCCTTTGGGACTATGGGGCCCTGCCTCTGGCGGCCTCCACAGATGATGGCGATGAAATCTTTTTTTTGTGGTAAAATACACGTCACATAAACTTGTCATTTTAGCCACTTTAAAGTGAACAATTCAGTGGCATTTAGTCCATTCCCAGTGTTGTGCGACCAACACTCTCTAATTCCAGAACATTCCCATCACCCTGGACGGACTACCCCATTAAGCAGTCCCTCCCTGGTCCCCGCCACCCACTGCTCTGCGTTCTGTCTCTGGATTTGCCTGTCCGGAGCGTCCCAAAGAGCAGTGAGGGTTTAAGAAAACCCCTCTAAGTAGTGCTGTGATTCCCCCACCTTCCTTCACTGACTCTCACACGCATGAACGCCCCGAAGGACTGTAGTCACGTGAGCCGAGTTCCTCTGCTCGCAGAGTGTCTGTGCTGGGCTGCGGTTCCAGAGATAAATTAATGAAGGTGATTGCACAGGCCTTTCCGGATCCCTCCCGCGTCCTGCTCCCCCTCTCAGGCCCTGCCATGTGTGTGGCACCCGCATGGCCAGGGCTGAGACTCAGGACTGGGCCCCCGGCTGAACCAGCCCTGAGGACCGGGAGACGGCGTGTGCTCCTCCCCATGCTGTGATGTCACTGCTCGGGGCGGAGTGTGCCCACAGCTCCCTGCTTGCCAGCATCGAGGATAAGTGCTTCACTTGGGATATTTTGTGTTTCTGGGAAAATGCCTTTGAGAATGTCCCATTTCCCATTTCCCAGCTGATAGGCCTTCCTGAGGGGAAAATCCCTGACTTCTCCCCGCATGAGCGGGTGCTCGGGTCCCCGTCCCATCAGGGCTGAGCTTAAGGGAGGAGGTGTGAATGGACCGTGGTGTATTTACCACTCACCTACGGAAGGCCGTCTGTAAGCCTGTGTCTCACGGTTATTGTCATGCGGTTCATTATGTGTGTTTCCCCCACTTAGCACGGGACCTCGTGTCTGTTCCAGGCACTCGGTCAATACTTGTGAATAAATGCCTTACCGTTTTATTTTATTAAAGTCAGCGTTCCTGTTGCCAAACCCCTCTTGTTCTCTCTCTGCCCTGTCGTGTGGCTAGCGTCCTTGTCATGTAAGAAGAATGTGAAGCTGAGTATGGCCGGACGGGCGGTATGGTCCTGTAACGTGCCCTGTGCATGGCGTTGCTGCTCTCACTGCACCGTGAGCAGGACTCTCCCCTCCGCCCCTCCGCCCCCTCTCCCTCCCACCTGCTGGTTCCTCAGCTACCAACGTTTAGTCCACTGAGCAGATGTATTTAAAAACAGCATGTTAGCCGAAACTGGTTTGACTCAGTGGATAGAGCGTCGGCCTGTGGACTGAAAGGTCCCGGGTTCTATTCCGGTCAAGGGCATGTACATTGGTTGCGGGCACATCCCCAGTAGGGGGTGTGCAAGAGGCATCTGGTCGATGTTTCTCTCTCATTGACGTTTCTAACTCTCTATCCCTCTCAATTCCTCTCTATGTAAAATCAATAAAATATATTTTAAAAATAAAAAATAAAAAAATAATAAAAATAAAAGCAGCATATTAGCCTAAACCAGTTTAGTTCAGTGGATAGAGCGTCGGTCTGCGGGCTCAAGGGTCCCAGGTTCGGTTCCAGTCAAGGGCATATGCCTTGGTTGTGGGCACATCCCCAGTAGGGGGTGTGCAGGAGGCAGCTGATCAATGTTTCTCGCTCATCGATGTTTCTAACTATCCCTCTCCCTTCCTCTCTGTAAAAAAATCAATAAAATATATTTTTTAAAAATAAATAAAAACAGCATATTAGTAAGTAAGTTGGTAGTTACAAAATAGTCACGTGGATATAAAGTACAGCACAAGAAATACAGTCAAGATTATAACAACTATGTCTGCTGTCAGACTTAATGGGGGATCACTCATAAATTGTATAAATGCCTAAACACTGCGCTGTACACTCGTATGAACTAATATTGAATGCCAGCTGTAATTGAAATAAAACCCAGCATATGCAGCAAGGTGTCAGTTATTAACCAAGAGAAGATAGGAGTTTTAGGAATCTTCTCATTGGTTACTGCTTTTTTAAATGTATTTTTATTGACCTAAGACAAGAAGGGAGAGGGAGAGAGAGCTGGAAACATCAATGATGAGAGAGAATCATTGCTCAGCTGCCTCCTGCACGCCCCTCACTGGGGACTGAGCCCACAACCTGGGCATGTGCCCTTGGCCAGAATCGAACCCTTCAGTCCCCAGGCCAACTATCCACGGAGCCAAACCAGCTACGGCTGGTTACTGCTTTTAAATGACCCTGGTGGCTTTTTGTGTGTTTTTGCTTTGGAGATAAAATCCAGATACATGGCGTTAATCATTTAATAAATAGTCTTTAGTTTTTAGAGGAGTTTTAGGTTTGACATGAGTGGAAAGTACAGAGAGCCCCTTTATGCCGTGTGCCCCCACCTGCCCACATCCCCACCGTAGGGGGACACTTGGTACAGTCTTGAACCTGTGTCAACACATAATCACCAAAGCCCATTGTTTATGCCAGGATTAAATGAGCCATTTTAAGTGTGCATTCAGTGGTGCTTAGTACATTCAATGTGCAACCGCCACCTTTCCCTGGTTCCACGCCCTCTCTGGTTTCCCCACAGCAGCCCCATAGCTGTCATCGGTCACTCCCCACACCCCCTCCCCAGCCCTGGCCCCCCTGGTCTGCTTCCTGTCTGTGGCGTTGCCCGTTCTCCCCGTTTCCTGTGAGTGGAACACACCCGCGTGGTCCTTTGTGTCTGGCCTCCTGCACTGAGCGTCATGTTTTCGAGCCCCGGCCGCACTGCAGCTGCGCCAGGGCTTCTTTCCTGTGTGTGGCCGCTACCGGGCCTCTGTGGACGAGCACACTGTGCTGGTCCGCTCCTCTGGGGACAGACACTGGGTGTTGATCCTTTTGGCTACATGACTAGAGCTGCTACGAGCACATGCACTGTGAGCACGCGTGAGTCCTCACATGCGGACTCCTGCTTTTCAGACACCAGCTTCGTGCTGGGCAGCTACAAGACCGAGCAGTGCCCGAAGCCTCCGCGCCTCTGTCGCCAGGGCTACGCCTGCCCCCACTACCACAACAGCAGGGACCGGCGGCGGAACCCCCGGAGGTTCCAGTACAGGTGAGCCCGGGAGCGAGGCCCCTGGCCTCTGCCGCCGTCCTCCTCCAGGCCCCGAGCCCGTGTCCGCTTTTCCTTCGAGCAGAGCCGCTCTGCCCACCTGGTGCCCCCTCCCTGGCTGAGGCGTCGGCCGTGGAGGGCTGGTTACGTCATCGTTCTTTCTGAGCCATTTCTCAGTCAGGGAACGGAGAGCCTAAGTGTTAGTGACCCAATACTAGCTTGAGAAGGTAAAGCGAGTTTAATGCATCCGAAAGGGTTAGAAAATAAACATTTTAAAAATCCAAGAAAACAAAAAGTCTCATTTATTACTGGTGGTATTTTTTTGTTTTTTCCTATGAAACCAAGCAGGTTACAATAATGCTGCCAAGCACATGACGAAGGGAGGGTTTGGGTTCACTTTTCACACTGGAGGGAAAAGTCTCACGTCCAGTTTTGAAATGACCTCAAGAAAAGATGGGCTCGCCGCCTCCTGGCTTCAGGGGACCGGCCGCTTCTCCGAGATGCTGTTCGCGCAGCGTGGGGGCCCCGACGTCAGGGACGTAGGCCCCCTTTAATCGCTCTGGAAATTAACCCGGGACTCCGAGCGCTTTCTGCGTTCGGATGGCCCTCGCCCTGCTCTCGCCTGTCCTCAGAGGGAAGAGACGGTCCCTCCGGGGGCTGTGCCTGTGGGTGCCCCCTCCTGAGAGGCGGCCCGCGGCAGGCGGGTAGACCGGCACCCATGGCACCAGAAAGGCGGTCTCCTCCAGCACCCCCTGTGCCCCCCTTGTCGCCCAGGTCCACTCCGTGCCCCAGCGTGAAGCACGGCGATGAGTGGGGTGAGCCCTCGAGGTGCGACAGCGGGGACAGCTGTCAGTACTGCCATTCACGCACGGAGCAGCAGTTCCACCCGGAGGTACGCGGCGGGCAGGTTCCAGCTCTCCGGTCAGCATAGCCACAGCCTGAGGGGGGTCTGGTGGCTCCTGGCTATGTTTGGGGATCTCTCTAGAGAGACTCCGAGCTCAGCAAAGCCATTAGGTCCGCAGTTGGGGTTCATTACACTGTCAGGGTACGGAGTGAGGGCAGCACGGGGCAGGTCCCCGGGGCAGGGCCTGGGAGGCCGGTGGGAGCTTCCAGCTGCCCTCCCCCAGTGAGTGACGGACAGCCCTCCCTCTCCCTGTGCCTGTGGTGGCAGCCTTGTGTCTCAGGTTTTTGTTGGAGGTCAGAGGTGGAGACATAGCTGACCGGAGTGGAGTTCAGGCCGTGGGTCCAGGGCTCCCACCCTAGGTCACATGGTTATTAATTACTCAGTGTGGCCAAGGCCAGGTAAACAGACACTTACCAGGCAGACGTTCTAGGGGCACCGAGGTCACCTCCCCAGAGTTGGTCAAGGTCAGTCCTTCCTTTGGATCGTGCAGGGTGTGACCAGAGCCTGCTCCGCCAGCCAGAGCTCACGTGGATTTGTGTTGAAAACGACTAAGCTGCCCAGCCCCCATCAGAGCCTGAGTTAGCAGGGGAGCATGGGGACCAAGGAGGGAGGGGCCGGGGCTGGGCTCGGGAGGGGGTCCACCCTCAGGGGTGGCAGTGTGTGTGCTGATCCCTGTGAACTGAGGGGTGGGCTCCTTTGCTGAACTCCACGGGCCGAGAGGGCAGACGGGGCCAGCGGGTGGCGGTGGAGGGCTGCGGGGGCCTGCACAGCCTGGCCGGGAATGAGGTGCCGCCTCAGGCACATACCGCCCCGGGCTCTGGGAGGCAGGCACCGAGCTGGAGCCCAGCAGGCGCATCGGGCTGTGTGGTGAACTTGGGTAAATTGTAGCCTTCACCTCCGGACCTTCTCTCTCAAGCCTAGGCCTGCATTTCAGGCCCCACAACAGCTGGTCTCAGGCTTTTATTTTTTCCTCTTCTAGTCACATGATTTATTCACTAGAGTTTTGAAACTGGAAAAAAGTGTTGTGCTTGTTCACACCGCTAGTGTCTGGATAAGGAGTCTCACTTGGCCTCTGGCTCTGCACCCTGAGGTGACTCTCCATTTCTGTGGCTCAGCACTTGCCTGTTTCCCCAACTCATGCTCCTCTTTTTTTGTTTGTTTTGTTAATCCTCACCCAAGGACATTTTTCAGTTGATTTAGATAGAGAGAAGGGAGGGGGAGAGAGAGAGAAATATCGATGTGAGAAAGACACATTGATTAGTTGCCTCCCACACAGTGCCCAGGGCCAGGGACCAAACCTACAATCCAGGTACACGCCCCTGACCAGGAATCAAACCCACAACCCTTTGGTGCATTGACCGATGCTCCAACCACTGAGCTGCACTGGCCAGGGCTCCTGCTCTTCTTCTTTAATTTTGTTTTTTTTTATTTTTTTATTTTATTTTATTTTAAATATATTTTATTGATTTTTTACAGAGAGAAAGAGAGAGGGATAGAGAGTTAGAAACATTGATGAGAGAGAATCATCAATCAGCTGCCTCCTGCACTACCCCTACTGGGGATGTGCCTGCAACCAAGGTACATGCGCTTGACCAGAATCGAACCTGGGACCTTTCAGTCCGCAGGCCGACGCTCTATCCACTGGACCAAACTGGTCTCAGCTAATTTTGTTTGTTTTTTTAGAAAATATATATATATTTTATTGACTTTTTACAGAGAGGAAGGGAGAGGGATAGAGAGTTAGAAACATTGATGAGAGAGAAACATCAATCAGCTTCCTCATGCACACCCCCTACCGGGGATGTGCCTGCAACCAGGGTACATGCCCTTGACTGGAATCGAACCTGGGACCCTTCAGTCTGCAGGCTGATGCTCTATCCACTGAGCCATGCTCTTCTTTTTATATGGCTCATATAGGTGCAGAATTGGGACTTAAAACCGGTGGACACCAGTGAATTTTTACTTAACTGTGTTTACTCCTAATGTTGTGACTTAACAGAGAAGAAAAGAGGTCAGCCAGTGGCACCCGTGGGGCCTTTGCTCCTGGCTTTATCTCAGGCCTGCCTGTGGTGTTCGCAGCCACACGGCTCTGGGTGTTTGCCCTCTGTTTTTACACACACGGCTTGGTGCATACATTACATTTGTTGACGCTTAAGTAAGACAAAACTCAGAGTACTTAGCATAATCTTTTCTCAGGGTCATTGCACACCAGCAAGCCTAGCGCTGTGTGCACTAGAGGCTGCCCTGGACGAGAAGGCAGGCACCGGAGGGAGGGAGCGCATGACTGCCAAGTGAGGCACCTGGGCTGCAGGAGGGGTGTCATTGCATTTGCGTCCTGAAAGTGCTGTGCTTTAAGATGCACAATGACATGCCGCTTCCTGCTATTTTTAGTGGGTTTAAGACCCTTTGAACTTGTTTTTGTTGTTTGTTTTTTTTAAATAAATTTTATTGATTTTTCACAGACAGGAAGGGAGAGAGATAGATAGCTAGAAATGTTGATGAGAGAAACATCGACCAGCTGCCTCTTGCACACCCCCCATCGGGGATGTGCCCGCAACCAATGTACATGCCCTTGACTGGAATCGAACCCGGGACCCTTCAGTCCGCAGACCGACGCTCTACCACTGAGCCAAAATGGCTTCGGCTGAACTTGTTTTTGTTGGTGTGGTTGCCTAGCAGACAGTTGAAGCAAGGCGTCTGAGCAGGTGGGGAAGGAAGGAGGGTTGGTGGGGTGTCGGCGTGGGGTCTGAGCAGGAGGGCAGCGATCCTGCTGTGGCAACGCCCGTGAGGCGCGTCTGCAGCCCTGAGGCTGGTCTGCTCCTGCTGGGTCCTGGGTGCTGCGGGCCAGCCCCAGTGTTGATGACGGCCAGAGAGTATCTTCACCCAGGTGGGGTGGATTGGGTCTGGTCATGGGGTAGACACGTGTTCGTTTAACGTGTTTCTGGAAGTGCACCTGCTGTGTACCAGGCACTAAACCAGGTGGAGAAGCTGACTGTGTGACTTTAAGGACGGGTGCTCCAGGCCCTCGTTCCCGGACTGGCTGGCCCTGTGCCGAGGAGGGGATTCGGGACCATGGGCCTTTGGGGAGGGGCCACGCCCACATCCCTCCCTTCTGACGACTGGACTCCCCTGGTGGCGGGGGCTTGTTCTCCATGGTGTGGGCATCTTCTCTGGGCTCCCATGGAAACCCACTTCCAGTCGGGTCTCTCCACTTTATTTTATTTTTGCTCCTAGATCTACAAGTCCACAAAGTGCAACGACATGCGCCAAACCGGCTACTGCCCTCGCGGTCCTTTCTGCGCCTTCGCACACGTGGAAAGTAAGTGCCTGACGCCCGGTGGGCTCTGGCTTAGCCGCTGTCGTAAGCCCATCAGGGGAGACAGCTCCTGGGCTCACCAGACTCAGTTCCCCCTGAGCGGGCTCCCAGGGCAGGGAGCGGGCTCCCAGGGCGGGCAGCGGGCTCCCAGGGTGGGCAGCGGGCTCCCAGGGTGGGCAGCGGGCTCACCAGACTCAGTTCCCCCTGAGCGGGCTCCCAGGATAGGGAGCGGGCTCCCAGGATGGGGAGCAGGTGGGAGGGCCTGACATGCCTTTTGGGCTCCTGGGTGGGAGCTGTTGCAGGCTGGTCCTGCCTCCAGTGCTCCTGAGTGCAGTGGCTGGCACTGGCACGGTTTTGGGTTTTTTTTTTTTGTGGTCGGGGGGTAGTTTTGATGGCCAGATGGGCCCGTAGAATGTTCCTGAGGCATAAGCGAGTCTGCGACGGGGGCCTGTCCTCCCCCATGGTGCTCCTCGGCTTCCTCCTACAAGCCTGTGAGGGGGATCCAGGTGTGCGCCTAGTGGCCAGCTCCTCTGTACTTTCTGTGTTTTCTTTGAATGGGGAGGGTGGCTGTTCTTACTGAAACTTTACTCTGTTTTCTGATTCTCAAACCATTCGTATCTCAAACTGAAGACTGGAGGGTCCCATCGCCCTGATGGCTCACATGTTGCTTCAGATGCCCTCTCATAGGCCAGTGTAGGCTCTTCCCTAATTGTGGGGATCCGTTAGCCAACGACCCTGCGGAGCCAGCAGCCACTCACAGCCTGCTTTCCCTCTTCCTCCAGAGAACCTGGGGATGGCCAACGACTGGGGCTGCCGAGACCTCATGCCCACCAGCAGCTCTGCGGCCAGCAGCTGCCCGCCCGGAAACGTGAGTGGATGGGTCCTGGGGGGCCGCCTGGGGGCGGCTGGGCACATTGTAAGAGGGTTGTGCTTCCTGAGTGACGCAGTTAAGACAGTCTGCTTTGGGGATGGCAGCTCCTGGAAGACTCCAGAGGATTCTGGCTGAGCTCTGGCGTGGCCTTGCCGTTGGCCAGGCCCTCATATTGCCCCACATGATGCACCGTCTTGGGCTGACCATAAAGAAAAGGGCCCCGCCGAAGCCGGTTTGGCTCAGTGGATAGAGCATCGGTCTGCAGACTGAAAGGTGCCAGGTTCGATTCCAGTCAAGGGCGTGTACCTTGGTTGCGGGCACATCCCTGGTAGGGGGTGTGCAAGAGGCAGCTGGTTGGTTTTCTCTCTCATTGACGTTTCTAGCTCTCTCCCTTTCTCTCTGTTAAAAATCAATAAAAATATTGGGGGGGAAAAAGAAAGAAAGAAAAGAAAAAGGGCCCCGTCCAGCAGGGTCTTCTCAGGACTGACTGTCCCCCTGGGAGGGGAGATGCCGGCTGAAGGCGGGCGTGGGCAGGTCCCTGGCAGGGAGCACCCTCGGGTCTCAGCAGGGTGGTCCTAGAGGTTTGTGGGGGCAGTGAGAGATGGGGGATCTGGCCTAGAGATGGGTTAGGACCTTCATGTCCTTGAGGACCGAGTACATTGGTGAGGACAGGGTTCAGAACTGTGTCCCGCCCTCACCGACAGGTGGTGGCTCCTCTTGTATGCCCTCACGTGGGGTGTTTGAGAGGGCAGAGAGGACTCTTCCTCAGGCGAGCTCAGTGACGGGGTGCATTTGTCCTGTTGGAGTCACCAGGAAAGTAGCATCTGTCTGCGACGAGGCTGAATCCCTTCAGCTGGGCAGCGAGCTGGCTGCTCTTCAGGCGAGCCCATCCTCCTCCCTGGGTCAGGCCTTGCGCTCAAGGTCCGGGTTCTCGGAGCCCCTCCGGCACTTAGGAAGGGCTGCACCTGGGTTTGCCCACCCCCCAGGTCTTCCATTACATCGGGAAGAGACTCCCGGATGCAAATTAGTCATTTCAGAGTGAACAGTGGTATCTTATATTGATTTCAGAGAAGGAGGGAGAGGGAGAGAGAGAAATATCAATGATGAGAGAGAATCATTGATCGGCTGCCTCCTGCATGCCCCCAGTTGGGAATTGAACCCGCAATCCCGGCATATGCCCTGACCAGGAATCCAGTCGTGACCTCCTGGTGGACGCTCAACCACTGAGCCACAGCAGCCGGGCATCTTGTATAATACTTTCACACATGCAGCCACTGCCTCTCGAACTAGCTCAACCCTGGTTGTCTTTCCATGAGACAGTTCACACGGACCCGAGGGCGAGGAGTGAAAAATGAGGAAGAAGCTAAAATCCAATAAGAAATGTTCATTAAAATGATTTGAGCCCAGCTGGTATGGCTAAGTGGTTGAGTGTTGGCTCATGCACCAAGAGGTTACTGGTTCAATTCCCAGCCAGGGCACATGCCCGGGTTGCAGGCTCAATACCTGGTCTCCTCACTCTAGCCGGTTTGGCTCAGTGGATAGAGTGTCGGCCTGTGGACTGAAGGGTCCCATGTTCGATTCCAATCAAGGGCATGTATCTTGGTTGCAGGTTCTCGGTCCTGGTGTGCAGGAGGCAACCAATCACTGTCTCTCTCTGATATCGATGTTTCTCTCTCTCTCCCCCCTCCCTTCCACTCTCTCTAAAAATCAATGGAAAAACATCCTTGGGTGAGGATTAATAAAAAAAGAACGAAAGAAAGAGGTGGTGTTCTAGAAGGGGAGGGGAGGGGCCACCTTCTAGTTAGGTGGGTAAAGGAGAGGAATTGCCCTAAGTCATTCTTTGCCTCAGTCTTTCCAAAACTCCCCAGCTCTTGAAGGGACCCCTGTAGAGAAAGGCTTGTTTGGGGTTTGTCCCCGTTGTGGCTTCAGGGTGCCTGGAGCTGACATGCTACCTTCACACATCCTAGCCTGGGGGTCAAAGTCCAGGTGTAAGAAATGGATTCAGGAGAACCAAAGCAGAGCTAGCAGATCTGAATGCTTTTTCTGTTATGAGACTTTGGCACCTGTCAAAGCTCGGGTCTCTGTATATTTGTGTTTTTAATCCACTATGTTTTCTTTGTTCTGTTGCAGGCGAAGTGGAGGGACTCCCCTGCTGAGGGCAGCCAGAAAGCCAGTGAGCACGACAGTAAGCAGGTACATGCTCCTGGGCGGGCTTCCCCGTGCCCTGTGGTCAGGGCCAGCAGGCCTGAGGGATGGCTTTCTGACTTGGTCATGCTCACTCCTGCCACAAAGCGGCCTGGTTAATGTTCACTGTAATTTAACTACGTATTCACTTGTTAGTTTATTGATGAGAGAGAGAGAGAGAAAGAGAGAAAGAGCAAGAGAGGGAGAGAGAGAGAAACATCAATTTGTTGTTCCACTTATTTATGCGTTCACTCATTTTTGTTTGTGCCCTGACTGGGGATCAAACCTACAACCTGGTATTGGGATGCTGCTCTAACCAGCCAAGCTGCCCAGCCAGGGCGTTTAACTGTGCTTTTCATTGTTTTTCATTATCTCCTTAAAGTCATCTGTTCCACATGTCCTTTGTTTTAATGTTTAAAACGTAGTTTTGGAGATACTGTGGTTTGGCTCCAGACCACCGCAATAAAGCACGTAGGCCAGTTAGGTGAGTTGTCATCTTTTTGCTGGTGGAGGGTTTTGCCTTCAGTTTGTAAAAAAATAAATAAATAAATAAAGTAACACCTGTAGAGTGCAATAAAACAAGGCCTGCCTATACCTTGGAAATAATGAGACCCGAACCTTCGAAGGTTTCCCCCACGGGGAAGTAGACTAGCACAACCTCGCTGGTCTGCATCGGTGACCTGGGCCGCTGTGACAGCCCCGCAGATGGAGCTTAAACAGACGCTGACCCTCTCAGGGTGGAGGCTGGAAGCCAGGACACTGCCTTCTCCCTATCTCCTCAGCACCTTCCCTGAGCCTGCTGTCTGTCTCCAAACCCCCCGTTCTTATAAGACTCCGGTCACAGTGATTAGGGCCCATTCTGATTTATTTTATTTTATTTTTTCCTAATATATTTCATTGATTTTGTACAGAGAGGAAGGGAGAGAGAGAGAGAGCCAGAAACATCGATGAGAGAGAGTCATCGATCAGCTGCCTCTCGCACACCCCCCACTGGGGATATGCCCGCAACCAAGGTACATGCCCTTGACCGGAATCGAACCCGGGACCTTTCAGTCCCCAAGCCGACTCTCTATCCATTGAGCCAAACCGGTTTCGGCAGGACCCATTCTAATTTAAACTCGATTCTCAGGGCACTAAAGTTCCCCTTCCCAAGTAACGACGTCACCTTTGGGGTTTCCGGGGTCAGGACTCCGACACGGGGGCCTGGGACACAGCTCAGCCCAGGCAGCATCCTCGGTCACGGGCTCGGGCTCCAGGTCCGCGGTGGCCGGCCTTTCGGACCTCACGGACCACCGGCTGGCGACCGCTGCTCCGGGCCACAGCTTATGGGCACGTCCTGAGATTCCTCGGGGTTCTGTTAACTGTTCCCTCCTCAGTGAGGCTGAGGGGAGCTCCCCGCGGAGCCCCCCGTCCTGAGGCTTCAGCAAAGTTGGGGTCTTTGCCCTTGTTCTGCCCAGCCCAGCCTTCAGGCTTGTTCAAACCTAGTCTGTTTTGAGAAACAACTTTTTTCCCCCCAAAACCGGTGCCCTCAGGACTCAGAACGCTTGTTTTTACCCGTCCCCGTAAGGAGCAGAGCTGTAACCATCAGGAAGGCCTGGGGAGGGGCAGGCAGCAGAGCTCACCTCCGGCAGGACTTCACCTGCTCGTCACTGTCGGTGTTCTTAATTTATTTTTTAAAATATATTTTCATTGATTTCAGAGAGGAAGGGAGAGGGGGAGAGAGAGAAACATCGGTTATGAGAATCACCGATCAGCCGCCTCCCGCACACCCCTCACTGGGGGTGAAGCTCACAACCCGGGCATGTGCCCTTGGCTGGAACCCAGGACCCTTCAGTCGGCAGGCTGACGCTCTGTCCACTGAGCCACCGGCTAGGGCTGTCGGGTGATCTTCAAATGCCTACCTGCAACACCTCTCCTTCCCTTCTCTCCTGGTCTCCGGGACGCCCCCCCCCCCCCCCCCCCGAGGGCAGGTTTTCCTCCCAGATGTCTGTCTGAGCAGCTCATGTAGTCACGTGTGTTCTCTTCGGAGCTTCTGAAGCCCGTGTTCGAACTCAGCAGAAGGACAGTTGAAAGTAAAAATGCAACTTAGTTATCTTGTGGTGGTTTTTTTCCTTGAGAGATGAAAATGGACAAGCTGTTCATTGCAAACCTGAAACATGACGTGTTAGGAATAAGGAGCCAGTGGGCACATGCCTGTCTCAGGGCTTAGGAAAGGAGCCGAGGGCAGACTCGCCAAGTCGCACGGCGAGGGACCCCATGCCAGTCAGCGCCCAGAGGCCCCGGGAAGGGTGGGCGGTCCTGTGTGAGCCGCCCTGGGGGTCCCGCTGCCCCTACCAGCTGGTGTGTCTCACACTGTGGCTCCAGCCCCCTCTGCGCTGTGAGTAAACTGGCCAAGGCCATCTGACAGCCTTGCCTGTGCTCAGAGACCCCGTCCACTCCGTCCAGCTGGCTCCGGGGGCAGCGAGCGCCCCAGGTGGGCAGGATTAGGGGCCAGCTGCCAGGGTCCCTGGACGAGGTTAGTATTGCCAGCCTTTCCCCGAGACCTACTCCCCCCGCCACTCCCTGTCTCCCCCCATTCCTGCTCAGTAGAAAAGCTGGAGGGTATGCTGAGGCGGCCCAGTGCTCTCAGACCAGTGGCTGCCCTGGGGACCCCTTCCCTGCGCAGGTCTGTACGTCCCTGGGTCCCTCCCATCTCCTCTGTGTCAGCGGCTGTCCCTGTGTTCCCAGCCCCGACTGTGGCTCTCGTTTCCGGGGCCTCGGCCATGGGGAGCCCCCGGTGCCTCTCTGTCCAGGGCTTTTGTTGGTGCAATTCCTGCTGAGTCTGGCCCCTCCCCAGTTCCCGTCTTCCTTCCTGGGTGTCTCTTCCTCAGAAGCCTGTTTCCCAGGCCACACGTGATGGAGCATGTGAAGTGGAAGGGTTGAGGCACCATCGTGGCCCAGGAGAGGATCCATGTGGCTGCAGAGGCTGGGGACGCTGTTCCCAGGGTGCCCAGAGCCCAGCACTCACTCTGGCCCCACCCGAGAGGCCCCGGGTAAGGCAGCCAGCCATGTCACCTTGCCAGCCCCAGAGTGCTCACCCTGTGCCAGCCCCGTGGTTGGACAGAGTCGTCATCCCAAGCACCTCAGGGCACTTGCTAACATGCACACTCTTCTGCAGAATGTTTCTCTGTTGTTGAAAGTACTGCAGCTGTGCTGAAGCTGGTTTGGCTCAGTGGTAGAGCGTCGGTCTGCGGACTGAAAGGTTCCAGGTTCAATTCCGGTCAAGGGCACGTACCTTGGTTGCGGGCACATCCCCAGTAGGGGGGTGTGCAGGGGGCAGCTGGCCGATGTTTCTCTCTCATTGACATTTCTAACTCTCTACCTCTCTCCCTTCCTCTCTGTTAAAAATCAAAAAAAATATATATATTTTTTTAAATTTTTTTAAAAAAGCAAGTATTGCAGCTGTCACCCCCATGGCCCCCTCCACCTGCTCCCGTCCCCTCCCACACACACATATAAGTTCATTGGTTAATTCCTCCTGTCCCCCTTCTCACTGACATACGTCAGCCTATTGTAACTTGCTCGGGCATGTACCTTGGTTGCGGGCACGGCCCCAGTAAGGGCTGTGCAGGAGGCAGTTGATTGATGTTTCTCTCTCATCGATGTTTCTAACTCACCCTTTCCCTTCCTCTCTATAAAAATAAAATATATTTTTTAAAAAAAAATAAAGCAAGAGGTGAGCCCTGGCCAGTGAGACTCAGTCGGTTGGGCATCCGTCCTCCCATGCACCAAAGAGTTGCCCAGGTTATGGGCTCGATCCCCCATGAGAGATGTGCAGGAGGCAGCTGATTGATGTTTTGCTCTTACATCAATGTTTCTCTCCCTCTCTCTTATTCTCTCTCTAAAAATCAATTAAAAATCTGTAAGAAGTAAAATAAAAAAAGGCCCTGACTTTTGTGGCTCAATTGGTTGGGCACCAAAGAGTTGCTGGTTTGATTCCTGATCAAGGCAAATGTCTGGGGTTGTGGGCTAATCCCTGGTATGGGGCATGTAGGAGGCAACTGATCAATGTTATGCTCTCACATTGATGTTTCTTGCTCTCCCCCTCCCTTCCTCTCTAAACATCAATAAAAATAAAGATAAAAAGACAGAGGTGAGCCCAGGCAGGGCGGTTCAGTTGGTTGGAGTGTCATCCCATACACCAAAAGGTTGTGGGTTCAATCTCTGGTTGGAGCACGTATAGGAGGCCGCAGATTAGTGTTTGTCATATCTATGTTTTTCTCTCACCCATTTTTCTCTAAAAATCATATCCTCAGGTGAGAACTAAACAACAAGAAGTGTTGTCACAAGCTAGTTTTATTTACTTGCAGCAAAGCTCTGCCTATTGGAAGGGGGTTTGGCCATAGCGTATCCACATGATTTGGTCAATTATATGTTGATTGCTTCTTTGCAGTTGGCATTGTCATCTCTTGAATTCCCCCTTCAGCTTATCCTATTTACTGCTGCGTCTGCAAATTATTGTGCTATATTCAACATTCAGCAAGAAATAACGTTTAGCCCTAACCATTTGGCTCAGTGGATAGTGTCGGCCTGCGAACTAAAGAGTCCCGGGTTTGATTCCCGTAAAGGGCATGTACTTTGGTTGTGGGCACATCCCCAGTAGGGGGTGTGCAGGAGGCAGCTGATCAATGTTTCTCTCTCATAGATGTTACTAATTCTCTCTCCCTCTCCCTTCCTCTCTTTAAAAAATCAATAAAATATATTTTTTATAAAGAAATAACATTTAGAACTGCCCATTGAGATCCTTGTCCTATCTGTCATATTCACAATTAGATATGACTTCCACACTCATTAAGTTGGCTGCTGTAAGGAAAAAAAACAAAACAAAACAGAAAATAAGAGGTGTTGGTAAAAATGTGGAAAAGTTGCAACCTTTATGCATTAGAAAACAGTATGGTAGTGCCTTGGAAAAATTGAAAATAGAACTACCATGCGATGGAGTGATTTCACCTCTGGGTATGCTGTATACCCAAGAGAATTGAAAGGAGTGTCTCAGAGGGATGTTTGTTCCCCCTTGTTCATAGCAGCAGCATTCAGAATTGCCAAAAGATGGAAGCAACTGGTGTGCCCATGGACAGATGAATGGATGAGCATACTGTGGTGCATACATACCGTGGAATATTATTCAGCCTTTAAAAGGCTACAACTCGGGCCGAAACCAGTTTGGCTCAGTGGTAGAGCGTCGGCCTGTGGACTGAAAGGTCCCGGGTTCGATTCCGGTAAAGGGCACGTACCTTGGTTGCGGGCACATCCTCAGTGGGGGGTGTGCAAGAGGCAGCTGGTCGATGTTTCTCTCTCATCTCATTGACGTTTCTAACTCTCTATCCCTCTCAATTCCTCTCTGTGTAAAATCAATAAAATATATTTTAAAAAAATAAAAATAAAAATAAAAGGCTACAACTCGGGTGAACCTCGAAGACTATTAGCTTGGCTGCCATAACAAAACACCATAGACTGTCGGCTAAAATAACAGAAATTCATTTTCTCTCAGTTCCCGAGGCTGGACGTCCTAGATCAAAGGCTAGGCAGGTCTGATTTCTCCAAGGCCTTTCTCTCTCGGGTTACAGACTGCCCAAGTCTTGTATGTGCTCACATTCTATGCCTCTGTGTGTGCACATCCCTGGTGTCTCTTTCTCTTTTTATAAGGATACAAATCCTACCAGTCCTATGGGATCAGGACTCCACTCTTACTACCTCATTTAACCTTAATCGCCTCCTTCGCAGCCCTGTCTCCAGTCATCCGGGGTTAGGGCTTCAACACTGGTCTTGGAGGGACATAGACATTCAGTCCATGAAAAAGATGGCTTTGCTAAGTGAAGTGAGCTGGACACAAAGGACCACTTACTGTATGATTTCATGCATTAGAGGTCCCTAGAAGAGTCAGATTCATACAGATGGGAAGTGGAATGGCAATGTTAGGGGCTTGGCCCATCCTGGTACATTTGTAACAACCATGGCCTCTGTGAAAGGGCCCAACAGGATGTTGTCATGGAATTTCAGGACCAGTTGTCCCTGAGGCCTTTCATGGGGCGTGTCCTGCAGTGTGACTTGCCTTGTGTGGGTCAGTGAAGTCACGGTGTGTGCCTCCGGCTGGTGGCTCCGGGTCAGGCAGTGTGTGGGATTTAATTGGGGCATCTGCAGTGTGACCGGTCTCCGTGGATTACAGGGAGGCCTGTGGTCACACCTCCACAGCCGGAAGGATAGGGATGCTTGCTTGTGGGTGACCTCAGGGAGCATAGGGGACACCGTTCCTTAGACTTCTGCAGTTTGAGTTTTTATTTTTAAACTAGAGGCCCAGTGCATGAAATTTGTGCACGGGGGGGGGGGGGGGGCTCCTCAGCCCAGTCTGGGAGCCCTCAGGGGGTGTCCGACTGCCATGGAGGTGGCAGGAGAGGCTCTCGCCACTGCTGCTGCACTTGCCAGCTGTGAGCCCAGCTTCTGGCTGAGTGGTACTCCCCCTGTGGGAGCGCACTGACCACCAGGGAGCAGCTCCTGCATTGAGTGTCCGCCCTCTGGTGGTCAGTGCATGTCATAGCGATCAGTCATTCTGCTGGTTGGTCAGTTTGCACATTAGCCTTTTATTATATAGGATTGTCACTTCAAACATACAGTGGTGTTCAGTTCCAGGGTCTCTGCACCCGTGACCGTGGCCTGCCAAGGAGCGCTCTCTTGAGCAAAGCCAGTAGAGGGAGTTGGGAGCCCATGAACACAGGCCTTGAGCCAAGTAATATGCACTTTGAAAAACTGTCCTATGCAGATGTCTGTCTGACAAAGTGCATAGTAACACTCCTTGTTATGGAAAACCTCCCTTAGGCTGACAAACTGGTAACCCCGCCTTGTCGTTGGCCTTGTAGCAGCTGCCCCACCCCCAGGTTAACTTCTGTATTATTTTGAGGCAGAACCTGGACATCACATCATTTTGCCTCCCTATAGCTCTGACTCCCGATGTCCTAGTAACAGGAGTCTGCCTTTAAACTCAGTGCGGTCTGGCCAGTGTGGTTCAGTGGGTGAGTGTTGACCTATGAACCAGGAGGTCATAGGCACATGCCCTTCAGGGCACATGCCCTGGTTGCAGGCTCGATCCCCAGTAGGAGCGTGCAGGAGGCAGCTGATCAATGATTCTCTCACATCATTGATGTTTCTATCTTTCTCCTTCTCCCTTCCTCTCAAATCAATAACTATATTTAAAAATAAATAAACAGTCAATAAAAAGAAAGAACAATATAAATGAACAAACGAAACAGAAATAGCTGAAACCGGTTTGGCTCAGTGGATAGAGCGTCGGTCTGCAGACTGAAAGGTCCCAGGTTCGATTCCGGTCAAGGGCATGTACCTTAGTTGCGGGCACATCCCCAGTAGGGAGTGTGCAGGAGGCAGCTGATTGATGTTTCTCTCTCATCGATGTTTCTAGCGCTCTATCCCTCTCCCTCTCTGTGAAAAATCAATAAAATATATATTTAAAAAAAGAAACAAAACAGAAGCAGACTCACAGATGCAGAGAACAGACTGATGGTTGCCAGAGGGGAGGGGTTTCGGGGACTGGGGACAAGGCTGTGTGGTGCCAGTGGGGCACTGGACATACCAGGGGGACACTTTGCAAAGTATACGGTTGTCTAACCAATATGTTATACACCTGAAGGTGATACAAAATAATACTGAATGTACCGTAAACTATAATACATATAAAAATAAAAATACATTTAAAAAAATAAAATTGGTAAACGCAGTGTGGGCTGGCTCCCAGCTCTGTCCCCGGTCACTTTCACTGCAGCTTTTCCTGCGCACAGCGCCCTGCATGTTCTCGGCTCTTCGTCCACGATGGGCCAGCTCTCCGTGTTCTTATCTGTTGCCCATCGTATTCCCCGTGAATTTCCCCGTTTTTTACTTTTCTTCGGTAATGCGGTTATGGGACCATTTCATCCGTCTTCAGAAGATGGCTTGTTCTCAACTGCTTTTGTCTGTGGGTGTTTGTTTTCTAGTGGTGAATGCCGACTCTAGGAAGCCGCTTCCTGCAGAGCGGTTCATTAGGGGAGACTTTCTCGATACCTTTGTTCCCGCCCCTGGGTGATTGGCAGCTACTGAGTCTGCCTGTCTAGGTCGTTGTGAATCACTAGACATTTGGGGTGAAGCCCACTTCCATTGCTTTTTGGTCAGGGGTGGAAGTGAGCGGATCTGTCTGTGCACGGCCGCGCTCAGCTGCGCCTGCTCACCTTATTTGTGTCTCCGCACAGAACCACCTGGCGGTGTTCACAGTGGTTCACCCGCTTGCTCCCAGCGTGAGCTCCAGCATGGCATCCAGCCTGGCGTCCAGCGCGGGTTCCAGCGGCTCCTCCCCCACTGCTCTGCCCATTCTCTCGGCCCGTGCCCACCCACTGGACCCCACTGGCAGTGCCCTCGAGGCCATCCCAGGTAAGCCCGAGACTCTCGTTTCCCTGACTTCTCCAGCCCTCACACTGTAGCGTGTGGGGAATAAGGTGGGAAACCCACCTGTGATCTGGTCGTCGGTCACTTTGGCTGCACGGCACGAGGTCGAGGTCGTGGAAACACCAGCCTCGCCGGCAGCCTGGGGCTGGGGCTGCAGATCTGATGAGCAGCCCTCAGGCGGGGCAGCTGCACTGGCTTCAGGGCAAGGCAGAGAACCGGGGGCTTTAGGGAGATGGAAGTGGGAGTTGGGGGGACGGCGAGGGCAGAAGGTGGGGGACCATGACAAGGGTGGGAGGGAGTAGGGATGAGTCCAGAAGGCCATGGGCATGCCTGCCAACGAGTCATTACAAATGACTGTCGTGGTTCCCAGCAAACTGGTTCCTAGTTTGTGGACTGATGGGCCATGTGATTGGAGGCAGGCTGGGGGAACCTGTCTGCCGGCCCGGACGGAGGCTTGGGGCTCCGGTGGGGGGGACTGTGGTGAAAATGTAGGGAAGAACAAGATGGACTTACAGCTAAAAGGGTGTTGGGGGCTGTGCCTGCCCCTTGGCCCCCACAGGCCACGTCGGAGTGGTGGGGCACCTGGGACCGGGGGAGGGTGCTCTGCATTGCTCAGCTGACCCTCACACAGGTCTCCCTCCGTCCTGGGACCGGGAGGTCCAGGGGAGGCCTCTGTTTGTGGGAGTTCGAAACTGTCTCTGTGCCAGTTGGCTGCGAAAGTGCAACTCCCATGAGTCCCAGCCTGGGCAGCACAAAATTCCATTCTTTTTGTTTGTTTGTTTGTTTGTTTGTTTTTAAATATTTTATTGATTTTCCACAGAGAGGAAGGGAGAGGGATAAAGAGCTAGAAACGTCGATGAGAGAGAAACATCTACCAGCTGCCTCCTGCACACCCCCCACCGGAGATGTGCCTGCAACCAATGTACATGCCCTTGACCGGAATGGAACCTGGGACCTTTCAGTCCGCAGACCGACGCTCTATCCACTGAGCCAAACCGGTTTCGGCACAAAATTTCATTGTTACAGATGAGCACAAACAACTCTTAAAGGAAAGCTTCTTTCCCCCAATATAAAGGTAGTAATGGTAAAATTTGGGCATATGAGAAAATTAACTAGGAAAATGAAATTCCTGCCCCTAAACAGGTGAGGTTCTGCTCACTTGAGTGAAGAACAGAACTGGGTGCATCTGTGCTTTGAAAGGGGTCTCGATGGGCAGGTGATGACTTATGGGCAGGTGATGGTTGGAGTTAGCATATTTCTAGTAATTTTTGCGGTCTTTATCTAACACCTAAGGGGGCATCCTCAGCCTGCATAGTGTGGCATTGACCATCTTGCTGTGTGCGCTTTCACTGACTTAACCCTTTGCACTCCGAACCATTCTGGACATTGGCTACCAGCTACTCGACGCTACTTTGCAGCGGAAACGTGCGTTGAATTAACTCAATTCCCCGTAATCACTAACTAACTACAATGTCCCCCCTGAGAGGGGACATCTGAGTGATATGCTAGAATTTTGATGTCCCCTGAGAGGGGACAGCGGAGTGCAAAAGGTTAAATATTTCTTGAACCAACTACCAGGAAGTAAAGAGTGAATTTTTGTTCAGGATCAACATTGCCTCCATTTACAGATAATACATTTCTGTTGCTGTTGTTAAAATAATGAGCTTCTACTGTCAGTGTGATCCTCACGTTTTCTATGCTCACCCTCCTGAGATCACACATCAAATTATAGCCTGATTCCGCCCCAGTTATGTAAGTAATGGAATCCTTGGAACTGCCCTCTGGCCCAGGAGGGCCCTCGCTGGGCAGTGTTCCCGCTGCTGAGGGCTCCCACACTGACCTGCTTTGGGGCAAACAGGTATAGACTGGATGTTTCCTCCAGTGGTACAGTTTCAGTGCAAATGCACTGAATCAGAATAATTCACTTTAAAGTTATTAATTTATTCATTTAAAGTAAACAAAAAAATAGGTGTGGTTTCTAGACTATTTTGTATTTAATGGATTTTTGTGGAATCATCTCAGGTCATTTGACAGATTTCATTTCCTTTGCCTCTCACTCCACATGAACAGGTTTCAGATGAAAACAGTGACCACTGCCCTAGCAGGTTTGGCTCAGTGGATAGAGTGTCAGCCTACGGACTGAAGGCCCTGGGTTGAATTTCAGGTCAAGGGCACATACCTGGGTTTCAGGCTCCATCCTGCCCGATGCAGGAGGCAGCCAGTCGATGTGTCTCTCTTACATCCATGTTTCTCTCTCTCTCTCTCTCTCTCTCTCTCTCTCTCTCTCTCTCTCTAAAAATCAATGGATCCCTGACCGGTTTGGCTCAGTGGATAGAGCATCAGCCTGCAGACTGAAGGGTCCCAGGTTCGATTCCGGTCAAGGGCATGTACCTTGGTTGCAGGCTCCTCCCCTGCCCACATCGCTATTTATGTCTCTCTCTCTCTCTCTCTCTCTCTCTCTCTCTCTCTCTCTCTCTCTCTCCCTCTCTCCCTCTCTCCCTCTCTCCCTCTCTCCCTCTCTCCCTCTCTCCCTCTCTCCCTCTCTCCCTCTCTCCCTCCCTAAAAATCAATGGAAAAATATCCTCAGGTGAGGATTTAACTTAGTAAATAATGATCATTAAAATAGTAAGCAGAGGAGCTCACTGCTGGAAGTGGCCAGCGGCAAAGAGAAGGGAGAGCTGGCACCTTGGGGCTGTGTGGGGCGGCGCGGCCCCTTTAAGGCTTGCGCAGCCAGGGGCGGGGCCAGGGCGGGCGCGTCGGAGGTTGCGTCACTCGGGGGCGCGGCCGGCGCGCGGTGGGCGGGCCGCGGGCCGTATTTGAATCCGCGGTGGCGGCGGCGGCCCGCGGCGGCGGTGGCGCGGCCCGTGAGTCAGCATCCTCCGCCTGCGTCCTCCGGGGCGGGTCGTCCTTAGGCGGAGCTGCGGAGCGGACGGTGCGCCCTCAGGTGCGGTGCGGCCCTCCGCGCGCGGCTCCCCAAGAGAGGTGCGTCTCCCACCCCCCCCTCCGCGCACCTTCCCCCAGGTGTGCTCCCCTCCCCTCCCCTCCCGCCGCCGGTCCCGGTCCTCGGCGCCCGGTGCCCCGGTGCGAGGGCAGGGGCGGCACCAGCTCTCAGGGCTGCGGAGGGAGGGAAGGAGGCGCCCGCCGGAGGAGCTGCTCTGCGGGGAGCCCGCTCTGCAGAGGCGCCCGCCGCGCGGTTCTCAGCGGCGCATTCACCGCCCAGCGGAGCGGGGTCTCCTGCTGCCGGGAGAGGACGGTCTCCCGCCTCCTCCGCGCCCGCCGCCTGCGCCCGCCCTGTCGGAAACGGAGCCCGCGAGGGAGCAGGTGTGCCAGGCGCTTCTCTGCCCTGTAGTTGGGGGAGGACGGTCCGGGTGGGTGGGCGCGTGGAGCTCCCCCGGCCGCGGGCCCCCCAGTTTGGCCTTTAATTCTGTGCGCTGTGTGCATCGTCCCCGTGACTCCCGACTCCGGGGACCGCGGCGCCTCTCCAGTTTGCTGTGTCACGTCAGGAGCGGGGCTCTGCCAGGGCCATTACTCGGCAGCTTTCAGCTGATTTCTCATCCACGTCAGGGAGGCTCCTGGATCTTGGCAAGGCTCGTTCTGGGTCAGACGGCCCAGTTTGGGTGTGTAGGTGGGTTCATGTGCACGTTGAGTGTTAAAGCCTTTTAAGTAAAAGTCAGTTCTTCCTTTATTCTGGGAGACCTGGGTCTGCTCTCAGGAACAGCAAGGTATGGTGGGATGGAAGTCCTGCTGATGAGTGTGGGCCGGGACACATCCTGGGCGCGGTGGTCTGCCTGTGCGCCGGGAGCAGGCTGTGGTTTGTCAGGGCGGGGTTGGCCCCTCCGATGCCACTGCACCTGAGGGGGCAGTCGGGGGCACTTGGGTGCTGAGTCGTGGGGTGGGGTGGGGGGAGCTTGGGGAAATAAATCACTTCTAGGTGAGAAAAGGCTCCAGCAGTCTAGTTTGCGCCCCCTTTTGTGCCTTTGTTATTCAAAAGGTGCTTCTGGAACTCTTGTTACCTTTGGAGCTGACCATCTCTAACCTGATCCTAGGACTGCAGGTGCTGAGGGCTGAACCCATGTTTTCAGGCCCAACTCCAGATCTGCCTCTTTCGGGAGATGGCGGAGGCAGGGCGGAGCGGGAGGGGTGGGGTGAGGAGGGGGTCTCAGGTCTAGGCTGACGTGCAGGAATGGAGCGGGGAGGTTCTCAGAGGGTTTTGGAGGCTGAGCAGGAGTTTCCCCAGGACTGGTGGGGCTAACGGAAGCTGCAGCCCATAGCAGCAGTGTCAGGCTTGAGGACAAAAAAGGAACCATTTGGGGGTGGGAAGGCTGCTTTGGCAGGACCAGGATGGGGCAGGGTGAGGCCGAGTCCAGCCGGGAAGTGTTGACCTGCATGCCAAGATGGCGCATTCCTTTTTGGGAGGCAGGATTGGCTACTGCCAAGGCCACTCGGAGACAATCCAGGTCAGGGTGAAGGGGCAGGGCAGCCTGCAGAAATGCTGGGGCCTGGGGCCTCTGCTGTGTGCTGAGGGGGAGGAGGAGCTAAGGGCCCCACGGGGCTCCAGCTCAGGGAGTGACCCGGGTGCACCAGTTTGAGGGCGGCACCTGGGCGCCCATTGAGGCGGCAGTGCGGCTGCACTGAGGGGCATCTGGGGCAGCTAGCTGTGAGGGCTGCAGAAACCATGTGTGCCTGAGCGTGGAGGGGCTGCTGAGCTCCCTCCCCAGGCAGAGGAGGGTGGAGAGGGACAGGCGGCTGGCAGGGGCTGCCTTTGACCAGAGAGGTTTGGGGGCATGGCACAGGGCCAGAGGGCAAGGCCTGGGCGGCAGTTTGAAAAGTGAGCTGGAAACTGAGGATGGCAGGAGGGAGGGGGTTGGCCAGCAGAGACAGGCTTGTGTGAGGTGCTGTAGAGCCTGCAGGGCTGTAGTATCCTGGAGAGCAGGTGCCAGCGAGAGCCTGGAATTCATAGCAGCAGGACAGGTTTGGGGAGGGGTCCCAGCAGGCTGGGCTCTGGCTCTGTGGGAGGTGCCCATCCAAGCACCAGAGCACAGCCTGGGGGGGTGGGGGGTGGATCAGGTGGGTACGTCCCCAGGTAATCCCCTCTGTTGTGGGTTGAATTATGTTTTCCAGTCCTCCCCCCTGCTGCTGACCTGGAACATGAGATGGTCTTTGCAAAATAGGTAAAATGAGGTCATTGACAGGAGCCCTCATCCAAGATGACTGCTGTTCTTATAAGAGGGAGGAGATTTAGACACAGACACAGAGGAGAGCAGCCATGTGATGATGGAGGAGAGAGAGTGTGATGCAGCCACCAGCCAAGGAAGGCCAAGGGTTGCTGACAAAGCCAAAGCTGGAAGAGGCAGGACGGAGCCTCCAGAGGGCACGCAGCCCTGTGCCCCCTGGTCTCAGTTTCTGGCCGCAGAGCTGGGAGAATGGGTATGTGGTGCTCGAAGCTGCCCGACCTGTGGTGCTTGCTTTTAGCAGCCCCCGGACCCAGAGGCTCCTGGGGCCGTGCCTGTGGAGAGGGAGGGACTGGCTGCAGAGAAGGGCGTGAGCAGCACAGCGGACAGGCAGAGGGAGCCCATGGAGGGAGGCTGCAGGGCAGAGGTCGGCGCTGCCCCTGTGGGTCCCTGCCTCCAGGCCTTCCTGAGGCCTGGGCTGTGGCGTCAGGCTGTTTCCACATTGCCTGTCTTGGCTGTGCCGTGTGGTGTGTCAGGGGAACCTGCTGGAGGAGCTGGTCCGGCTGAGCAGGGCAGCCTCCAGGCTGCTGTTGTCACACTCAGGAGGCCACAGTGAGGAACGTTCATTGTCTCCATCACCTTCTCGGGGACAAAAGAGCTTGCGGTGCTGCCGCCACTGTGGTCCTTGCACAGTTAGGCATCTGCAGGGTCAGTGTCTCCAGCTCAGCACCTTCCCGCCTCTCACAGATGGAATCTAGGGATTCTTGAACCCCACTTTTCCAGATAAGACCTTCAAAGTCTTTCACACCTTTGTGTTGGTAGTTCTCTTGGTACCTCCCACTGCTCCTGGTGACAGATAATGGGGGGGGGGGGGGGCAGTGTTCTCCAGGCGACTTGGTAGCTTGGTCGGGATGTTCTGATGCTGGGGTTGGGGGGTTGCTCAGTGATTCCCCCAACATCATCTCTGGTCAGTGGAGCGTGGTCTCCTCTCTGCTCCGGGCCCTGGTTCCCAAGCTGGGCCACGTCGGGGTGGTACCTGCAGGCAGTGGTGATGACACAAGGGTCAGATGCAGGCCCTGGGCCTCGCCAGGCAGTGCTGCTCCCTTGCATCATGGACACGAGGCCCCTTACTTTTCAGTGTGCACAACAGGCCTCACACCACGGAGGCGGGAGGCGGGAGCCAGTGGCTTTCAGATGTGCGTGCCTGAGCACCGCTCATTGGCCAGGAGCCCTCACATACCCCCCCCGGGGGGGGGCTGAGGAAGGGTAGCTGGGGATGCCGCTCCGGCTGAACCCTATGGCCGCGCTCCATGTGTACCACAGCTGGCTCCCCATAGATTTGCTTATCCTGAGGACTTACGTTCTTTGGAAGTCACACATCTCTTGCCCCGTATTTCCTGCTGATGACAGTAAACGCCTCTCCTTAGAAAAGGCAGCAGCCCCCTCCCCAGCGTAGGCAGGTTCCTTGAGTTGCACTTTGCTCAGCTCTTCCATTTGAATGCAGCTCCTCCTGCAGCCTGGGCCCCCGCTGCTCCTCCAGGACCCTGTGCAGGAGACACGGCTGTGCCTCTGGCGTGGCCTCTGCGTGGGCAGCTTTAACCTGAGGTTGCTTGTAGGATGTGGTCCAGGGGGCTCTGTGACACTTGGCACCAGGCAGCTGGGGGCGGGGCAGGGGCAGGAGCCTCCAGAAGCCCAGTTCACTCACCCAGAGAAGCAGGTCTGACTAGGGTCCCTGTGGTAAGTCCCCTGGGCTGTGGAGATGTCTGTCCTAGGGGCAGGGGCAGGGTAGGGTGACTTTGTGGCCTCTTGAAATGAGACCTGGTGCATCTTCCAGACATCAAGGGAGACTTAGGGGACCCTCAGCCACCTGGGGGCACAGGGCTCGGCTACATGGAAGAGGCCCACTTCGGGGGAGGGGTGGGGGCCTGAGGGCCCCCAGAAGTGGGGTGTAGGGGGAGAAAGGTGCTTAGTGGCAGAACTCCTGAGTGCTGTGCCTTTGATGCCACCACGCTCTCCTTTGGACGAGACTTAACTTTGGGTTGGGAAGGCTGCTCTGGCTCAAGAGGTGTGTCCCAGAGTGTTTCTGCCCCTCCCCGGGCATTTCCCTAGGGTCTTGGGGCCACACCTTCCCTGAGCTGATCCTGTGGGACCCCAGAGACTCCTGAGTCATGCTCCTGCTTAGGGGACTGGTTGGCCCGACCTCGGCCACCCAAGGACAGCTTCCTGCTCTTGTGCCGAGACAGTGCTGCTCCGTGCAGCCCCCTCCGTCCTGCCCCCTCCGTCCTGCCCCCTCGGTCCTGCCCCCTCCGTCCTGCCCCCTCGGTCCTGCCCCCTCGGTCCTGCCCGCTCCGTCCTGCCCGCTCCGTCCTGCCCCCTCGGTCCTGCCCCCTCGGTCCTGCCCGCTCCGTCCTGCCCCCTCGGTCCTGCCCCCTCGGTCCTGCCCCCTCCGTCCTGCCCCCTCCGTCCTGCCCCCTCCGTCCTGCCCCCTCCGTCCTGCCCGCTCCGTCCTGCCCCCTCGGTCCTGCCCGCTCCGTCCTGCCCGAGAAGGGTTCTGAAGAAAGCTTTTGGGGGCGGAGGCAGTCTGAGGGCCCCACCGTTCCATTCCCATCTTGTTGAGCAGACGCGCCTGGGGTGTATGGTGTCCTGGGGAACAGAGGGGATGGGAGGGACCCACTGGGGATTAGGGTGGAGAACAGGGTGCGGGTCACCCTGCTGTGGCCCCGGTGCAGACGTCAGTGCTAGTGCGAGAGCAGCCGCACGCCGTGGACTGAGTCGCTTTCCGTGGATGGCACCCTCCTGGAATTCCCTTTTACTGGTTAAGTATGTTTACTTGGTCAAATGTCGTCCCATGACATTGAAACCATAGAAGCCGACTTCAGTGAGGTGAGGCCTGCTCTAGGACCACGTGGGAGCCTGGAGGCTCTGGCTGTGCAGGAGGAGAGTGAGTCCAACTGAAGGCGGGCAGGGGTGTTCCTGGTCCCCAGCTCCGAGACGGGGTGTCCCCGCTCCCCGGAGAGCCAGGCATCTCCCTGCTGCCGCTCCGAGTGTTTCTGAGCAATAACAGGTGTCTTGTTGGACAGGTTCTGCCTTAGATCTCCATCTTAGTGATGTAAGCCTCGCTCCCCTGGATAAGGAGCTGGACGAGCAGGACGGAAGTGACCTGGGACCCACAGGTAAGATGGATGACGCCAGGCGCTCTTGTCAGGGTGGCTGGGCTGGCCGGGCGTTTCTTTCCAGAATCCTTAAATGGCCCTCGGGTGGGAGAGGCCCTCCCCCTCCTCCAGGACCCTGCAACCCTGGCAGGACCAGCCTCACAGCCCCTCAGTTTACCTCCATCGGAGCAGAGTGGCCCCTGCAGAGATGGGCGTGGGGTGTGCAGAATGGGGACACGGGCGGCCAGCCTTCACAGCCTTCCGAACGGTTTAACCACTGCTTTGGATGACAGTGGTATAAACATGTACTGAATCTTTTTCTCTGGCCTAAAAGCTCATCTTTTTCTTCTTCTTTTTAAAAATGTTTTTTTTATTGATTTCAGAGAGGAAGGGAGAAAGAGGTGTAGAAACATCAGTGATGAGAGAGAATCATTGATGGGCTGCATCCTGCACACCCCCTAGTGGGTATCGAGCCCACAACCCAGGCATGTGCCCTCACAGGGAATGATGGACTGTGGCACACCAGATGGGCCTATCTTTTTCTTCCGACGTTGAAACAAATTAATGTTTCTGGGGGCCCTGAAAGTCCTGGGGCCGCCATGCCGGTGGCTGTCTGGTCTCTGGGACCCTGCTGAAACCCTCGTCCCGGGCACTTGCCGTTGGTGTGAGTGGCTGGGAGCTATGGACACATCTCGGCCTGGGGAAGCTCTGTCTCTGCACCGCACGTGGTTGCTGCAGGCCTGGGACCCCCAGCACCCTCCCTCCGTGCCCCCTTGCCCTGGCTGCTGCACCACAGCTCAGAGGCAATGCTGTGCTGTTTCCTGGGCAGAGGGCTGCTGCTGCCTCTCACTAACCCCGCCCCTCCACTCTGCACAGGTCAGAGGTCGCTGGGGGGCTCAGAGCCCGTCACCATTCCTGGCTGCCTGGCCCGCTCCCCATCCCTGCAATCCTCGTCATCCCTGTCCACCTCCCCGCTCAGCTCGCTCTCCCAGTCCCTGTCGGGGCCTCTTGTCTCCTCGGCCATGACGCCCCCCCAGCAGCCGCCACCCCTCAAGTCGGAGCCCAGGGTGCTGGGCTCCTCGGCCTCGTCCTACAACTCCCTAGGTGAGCTGGGGCTTTGGGGGAGGGCTACCTATAGTGACAGCTTACTGCTGAATAAACCGAGGTGTGTGCGGGTGGGTGTCCCCACTTGGCTGCCCTCATTTCAGACTCCACCATGCTGCCCTGCACGCTCCCTGTGGTGTGGGCCTTGGCGTGTATCCCAGGCGGCCCCTTGTCCACGTGTCTGCTGCTTTGCTGGCGGTGCCCTGGGGCTCTGTCAGGGGCTCTGTGCCCTGGCCACGGTTGTGACTGCAGCGCGACCTGCCGTGTGCACTCACCCGTGCAGTGGCGTTTCCGAGGCTGTGCGGGGCGCTGTCACCAGAGACCCAGCACGGAGCAGGCGGATTTGCAAAAACGGGGAACAGTGCCATTTATTGTTTTTCATTTTTCTTTCTTTCAGAAGTGTTACTTGTTCTGTGTAACCTGTTATACTTTAAAATAATTAGTATTTTTTTTAAATATATTTTTATTGATTTTTTACAGAGAGGGAGAGGGATAGAGAGCCAGAAACATCGAGAGAGAAACATCGATCAGCTGCCTCTTGCACACCCCCCACCAGGGATGTGCCTGCAACCAAGGTACATGCCGTTGACCGGAATTGAACCTAGGACCCTGCAGTCCGCAGGCCGCCCCTCTGTCCTCTGAGCCAAACCAGTGTCGGCAAGAATTAGTATTTTTTAAATATCTCTTTAGTTCCTAAATGGTCATGCACCACCTAACAACTTTCTGGTCAGCAGACTTCATATGTGACGGTGGTCCCGTAGGGCTCCGATGGAGCTGGATTGCTGTAAGAAATGGAAGGCTCTGTGGCTCAGAGGAACTGTCTTCTCTGGTGGGAACAGTGCATGTGGAGCTTGGCAGTAGATTTCCTCTCAGCACCTCAGCTTAGAGTCGGTCAGTCCGGTCCGCCAGTCGCCAGCCCGTGTCAGCACAGAAGGTGCTCCACCCTCGGCACACTGCTGTCCGTTGTTTGCTGAGGACCCAAGCTCCCGTTCCGGTCCACAGGAGTGGCTTAACAAGGGCTAAGTGCCACTGCCACTCCTTTTTCTTTTTTCAAATATGTTTGTATTGATTTCAGAGAGGAAGGGAGAGATAGAAACATCGGTGATGAGAGGGAGTCATTGATTGGCTGCCTCCTGCACACCCCCTACTGAGGACGGAGCCCGCAAGCTGAGCATGTCCCCCTGACCGGAAATTGAACCGTGACCTTCTGGTTCATAGGTTGGTGCTCAACCACAGCCACGCTGGCCACACAGCCGCTTTAGAAGATGATTTCTGGCCCCAGCTGGTTTGGCTCAGTGGATAGAGCGTTGACCTGCAGACTGAAGGGTCCCAGGTTCGATTCCAGCCAAGGGCACATGACTGGGTTGTGGGCTCGATCCCCAGTGGGGGACGAGCTGGAGGCAGCCGATCAATGATTCTCATCATTGATATTTCTCTCTCTCCCTCCCTCTCCCTCTCCCTCTCCCTTCCTCTCTGAAATCAATAAAGAAATATATATGAAAAAAAAAGAAAAGATTTCTATGGTAGTGTAGAGCCAGCCTGTCCCTGTACTTTGGAAATCTTTTCAGGTTATGATGTAAAGTATAGGTAAGGCTTTTCTTCCATTAATTTAGTGCCAGTGAGAGCCCTCTCTGCCAGGTGAGTCAATAGAACCCAATTCCCAAGTCAAAATATTGAGTCCTCAATTCTACCCCCTCTCCATATTAAACACCCTCTTTTTTATTTATTTATGAAAACCACAAGGTTCTTGAATCTGACCACTGCTCCAGCATGCAGTAGCCAAAACCCCATGGCCATGACGGTGCCATGTTCCTGTCTCTCCCCTCTTTACTTTTATTCTGACTAATCCTCACTCCCTCCTGGCAGTTGCTGTTGTCATCTGGGTCTCAACCAGACAGTCTCTCCTTGCTCCTTGCAGCTTCAGTGTTGTTGCTGACCTTGTCGGGAGGCAGCAGAGGAGGGTGTGGGACAGTGTTTGTAAAGTCTGCAGTTGTGGCAGTAATAACCTGGGCTTCACTCAGCTCACCCAGAGCAACTGCAGGCTTGCAAGCTCAGCACTAAGTGTGCCGCTCTTTATCTTTTACACTGTACTTTTACTGTATCTTTTGTATGTTTAAATACACACAGTTACCATTGTGTCATGTCCTACAGCATTGCGCACAGTCACAGGCAGTACAGGCCTGCAGCCCAGGAGCAATAGGTGTACCTGCGGCTACACTAAACCATTTCTGTTTGTGTAAGTGCACTCTGATGGTGCGTTTCTCAGTTTCCCCTGTTGGTAAGTGACACGTTTTCTCTTGCGGGAGTTCTTTAAACCAAAGCTCCTGGGGGCCTAGGATCCCGCAGTGTCAAGGATTCCTGGGACCAGAGTCTGAGAAGTCCTGCTCCACAGGCGGCAGTCACAGGAACCTTGAATTCATCTTTTCTCTGTTTAAACCCCACAGGAGGCTGGAGGGGGCCTGGCTGGAAGGTCAGGGGCAGCAGCCTTGTCGGTGGAGTCCCAGAGGCCCAGGTCCTGCCTGGGGTGTCTGTGAAGTCCAGCACGCCTGGGCTGACCTCTGTCTCCTCCACACTCAGGTTTGAATGGCGTCCCTGGGAGCATCTGGGACTTCGTTTCCGGCAGCTTCTCTCCCAGCCCGTCCCCCATTCTGAATGCCGGCCCCACATCCACTGCAAGTGCAAGTCCAAATGGCGCCGAACTGGCGCGGGTCAGGCGGCAGCTGGACGAGGCCAAGAGGAAGATCAGGCAGTGGGAGGAGTCCTGGCAGCAGGTGAAGCAGGTGAGTCCTGGGGAGGTGCCAGGCTCAGGGGAGACCAGGGTGCCCCCTGCCAGCCACCACAGCCCCTGGGTTTCAGGCCTGTGACGCATGGCAGCGGGAGGCCAAGGAGGCGAAGGAGCGTGCGCTGGCCGCGGACGGTGCCCGGCAGCTGGCACTGCAGAAGAAGGAGGAGGTGGAGGCCCAGTTCAGGCAGCTGCAGGAGGAGCTGGAAGGCCGGGGCATGTCCACGCTGCCAGGGCTGCGAGGCTGCAGCGACATCGGTGCCATCTCACTGCCCAAGCTACAGTCGCTGCAGAGCCAGCTCCGCCTAGATTTGGAGGCGGTGGACGGGGTGAGTCCTGGCTTCAGCTTCCAAGGTACCCGATGTCTGCCCCCGGCAGTGTGTGGGCCAGATGATGGCTGGGACCTGGCCTACCACTCCTCCCCCCTCCCGGCGGTCCTTCTCATTAGCTCCTCAGATGGCAGCTCATGCTCTGCTCCCAGAAGTGTGTGCACCACCTCTCCTGCCGGTCTGGCCCTCCCCTTCCTTTCTGGAGTCTGCCACGTCAGCCCCCTCCTGTGTCCTCATGGATAGAATCACGCCCCTCTTACCCCATACAACTGGAACCATGGTGTATGTCTGAGGCAGGTCACTGATCACCTCTTTGCATGATTTCATTATTTTTTCTCGAGTAGCAAAAACCTGGTGTTCAGCTCAGCTAGAAACTTCCCCCACACCAGGGCATTTTGTTAGAACTCGGAGCATCTGGAAGGTTCTAAAACTCTGCCTCTTTCTCCTCTTCTTCTGCTGACTGGCCAAGGTCCGGCTGCAGTGCACATACCTGATCGCTTCACCAGGCACTGTCCCTGGGCGGTGGCTCTTCCCCTGGTCAGAGGGCTGGGTCTCAGCTCAGGGTTCCACTGAGAAAATCTGGACTCACCAGCCACATCCTGGCCTGGTCCTTCCCACGCAGGCTTAGCCCCCCAGGAGCCAGACTTCCACTTAAAGGTCTCCGTGTTCCTGGGGTGACCCCTGCACGCGTGTCCATCCAGTCCTGAGCCTTCTTGTGCTAGCCATTATCTCCACGTGTTCTCCTTCACCTCTGGGGCCAGTGGTGGGAAGGGGCCGTCTGTGACCCGCCAACTTCTCACCTGCAGGTGATCTTCCAGCTCAGAGCGAAGCAGTGCGTGGTGTGCGGAGAGCCGGCCCGCGGCGCCGTCCTGCAGCCCTGCCAGCACCGTGTGCTCTGTGAGCCGTGTGTGGCCAGTGCGCCCGAGTGCCCCTACTGCGAGAGTCAGCCCCTCCCGTGGTGACGGCAGCCATGGTGGCCTCACCTCCTGGTGCCACCGACGTCGGGACCCCGGCCCAGCTGCATCCAGTTCCATGGTATTCTCCTCGTAGACCTTACGGCACACCCACAGCACCACCTGCCCGAGCCCAGGTTTGGGTGGGCCCAGTAATTACACGGGGTTTGCGGTCCTGACACTACTGTGACCACATCCTGGGAGTTCACGTCCCGGCCAAGCACTTTGTAAACAGGAACTGACGTGGACGGTCTCAGCTGCTATAAGCTGCTTTCTAGGTTCATGTCTTTTTAATATGCATATGAAGCTTTGTATTGTACTGTGAACTTAAAATATTTCCTATCAGTTTATTGTAATTCATATTATGGTAAATATATTAGATTTCATATTCTGAAATTAGTACTTATGAAATGAGCATTTATCTAGTAGTGAGAGATGCCTAGGATTTTTATAGGTTTTAAATTAAGTGCAAATAGTATTTATAGCAGAGTGGTTATTGGAAGACATACTTTTAGATGTTTTTAATTTTATGAAAGGAACTGTTCCTAACCATGTGCTCGTGCACACTAATTGGAGTCTTATTCCCCAGCACCGTGCAATGAGGGCGCTCAGTCACGCACCCAGGACCCGTGGCCACTTTTTCTAAGAGCCTGTGCCTTGCAAAAGGAGGAGGAGGGTTCCCTTGGTTTTATCTTCTCCCTTCAGTCTTTGTAAGACAATTTGATACTAGCGAAAAGTGCGACCAAGGGGGTACACCTGTTTTAGAGCCGCTTCGCGCAGCTTCCTGGGGCTGGCTGCAGGGCACCCCGCTGGCCCAGCACCCCCCACACCTGGGACCACGGGACTCCGCAGAGCGGACAGGCTCGCCCATCTTCGCGCACACGGCTTCAGGCGACACTTCCGACACTGTGGTCTGAACTGTGTGTAGGTATTGTCAGTCATCGCGAGGACCTGGCTCTCACGCTGGTCCCTGGCCCCAAGTAGCAGCCTGGCTTCAGGCCAAGAAGGAATGCCTGAGAGCGGGCCGGGTTTCAGTGATGACCTGAACCTTCTGGCCTACAGTGGGTCATTTTTTCCTAGAGACCTGGGTAGTAGTAGAACTGTGCTCAGTGCGGCCCGCCTAGATTGCTGAGAGGAAATCTTCGCAGAACCTGCCGTTTGGGAGGCAGGAGCAGGTACCGGCCCTCTAGCCTGGAGTGAACGCTGTGTTTCTACTTGCCTGGGGCTTTGCCAAAGAGTTTTAAATGCATTTTTAAAGTGCAAAGTGACTAGGTAAAAACTTTTATCAGTGACCAAATTAGAATGTATTTACTATAAGTTTAAAACATTTTTTAACATAAGACAAATTGATAAAAAGTTATCATTTTAAAGGTGGATCATGACATTCCACAGCTAGTGTGCTACTAAAGGTTAACTATGGACTTGGTTTTAGTAAATCCTTGTTTTTAATTATAGCGATAATGATTTATTAGGTCTTAGAAATTACGTATATTTTGTGCTACTGTTATCATTGTTTAAAATTATTTTTTATTAATATTTATGCACTTGTTTTCCATGTTAGGCCTTTGGCCTTTTTGGGGATAACAGGACAGTGTTTATTACTGATATCTAGCCTAGACATTTTACAATTATAAACAATTAAGAACAATTAAGCTTTAGGTCTATTTATAAGCTACTCTGGTCAGTTCTGTGGAGTTCGGGGGCCACAGGTGCAGTGCTCACAGGGGTTCCACAGCTGGGGTTGGGGCGGAGCCCGTGAGCACTCACCCTTCTCAGGTCAGGACTGGCTCTGAGAACAGATGTGTGGTGGGAAGACCAAAGAACCACCCAGAATGGAGCTCCCAGAGTGCCCGGCGCAGTGAGGGCTGTCATGTGGTACGCTCCCAGGGGGCTGCTCCTTGGGTGTCCCCTCCCCCCCTCCTCCTCCCCCCCCCGCCCCTGCAGTGGCCCTGACCTTAGGAGGGAGCCACCCTTTGCAGGCCTCACAGACTTAGGGTGGGAGGGGAGTGCTGGGTGTAGCAGTGAAAGCGTGTGGTGCTCAGTGTCTCTCAGCTCTAGTGTTCAACATTCGCAGTAACATTCTTGTCATACTACTCGTGCAGCTGATCAGCAAACCTCAACTCAGTGTGTGGACGCTTCACGTGGACTAATTTATGAAAGCCCCCAATCTGTATGTTTGTTCTGAATATTTAGATGGGAATGTTATTGGAATGGAATTATCTTAACTCAGAAGGTAGTATTTATAAGGTATAATCATTTACTTAGTGAATTGTTTAAAGTTGTTAACACCTGTTTAAATTTTTTTTACACTACAGCATTTATGCAATGGTTTACAGAATTCATGGAATTATTTTTATCAGTATGGAATTAAAAATTTGAATCTTTATTTGTCCGTATCTTTTGAGTCCAATCCTGAGAGCCACTGGCCTGGAAGGCACAGAGGAAGCACATCCTCTGCCTGATGCATGCTTTTCTGGGACGTCTCACTCTGCACTGTGTCCTGGCCTGCTCCTCCTCCCTGCTATAGGATGCCAGTCTGGTCTGTCTTCAGCCCCATCCCAGGTCATAAGGTGTTCCCAAGCAACCCTGGGTTGCCAGGTAGCTGCTCTGCTGTCCTGTCTGTGGGTACCTTGGAGCCCAAGTGTTCAGAGCTGGAAGTTTCTAGCAAAACAGCAGGCGGTGACAGGTCAGGGTCTGGCTCACAGGCAGCAGGTCCCAGTGGGCCCCCCAGGTGCGACTTACCCGCAGGCTTAGTGTAGGGGATGCCATGTTGGGTCAGCACACTTTGAAGTCTTTTAATCTCCTTTGATAGTTCTTTATGTGCCTGAAACAGGGAAGTTCAAAGGGCATGTCAGACCCCTCGGTGGGAGGCCGTCTGTGTCCAGAGAACTCGGCTCCCACCCTCCCAATCTGCACCTTACTGCAGCTCTCCAAGGTCTCAAACACCTGGCCCTGGGCACCGCCTTCCTGTGCGGATTCACTTTCTTCCGGGGCCTTTAAATAGCCAGCATCCTGAAAGAGTGCTCTGAGCAATTTCTCATGGCCCTGCAGGTCAGAGATGGAGAGGGAGCACCCCGTTCGTCGCTGTGCTGCACCCAGTCATGGGGTGCCCACCAGCCACGGGGTGCCCGCTGCGGCACCTCACCTGGGAAGTGATGAGCTCGTCGGCCAGGTCCTGCTCCACCTGGTCCCACCTCTGCTGCAGGGCCGTAGGCAGGGCTGGGTACACTGAGATCCAAGAGAAGCCAGACTTAGCTGAGCCCCGCTACCCCGTCTCCCAGGCCTCCGGCAGCCTACCTAACAAGGAGTGGGGGTGGCAGACGAGCGGCGTCTCGAAGGTCAGCGCGTAGACACAGGTGCTTGGCTCAGACACATGAGCCAGTCGGTTGCTTTTCCCACAGGTAAGCTCCACCTGGGGGGAACCTCGGTTGGAAGGTGGGTAAAGCAGGCACCCCCCTTCCCCAGGGCACACCCTACACAGCTGCACCTTGCTCTGCCGGCTCCGGGAGTGGCAGGAGTCGCCGTCCCTCATCCACATGCCACTGAAGGTGTTATTGGCGATTTCCCACTCGTGCCAGATGCTGAGGAGGAGCAGGGCAGGAGTTGGGTTAGGTTGGGCTGGGGGAGCGCACCACACCCAGGAGCCTGTAGCTCCTTATTCCCAAACGCGCTCACCCGAGGATCCCGCTGTAGGCATTCCAGCGGAAGGTCTGCTCATGCTGGGTCACGTTGTGGAATGGGCAGAACTCGTACTTGTACCTGGGGGTGCAGCTGCTGTCAGGGCTGTTCCCAGCCCCCGCCCCCGCTGCCCCGCCCCGCACTCACGTGGACTCCACCAGGCTGAAGCACTTGCCAGAAAGTCTGAAGAGATGTGCAGGCCCTAGAAGGGGAAAAGCAACAGGCTGAGTCCAGTGTAAGAGCAGGCACGTGGAAAAGCAGACAAGCCACAAAATGGGCCATCGGGAAAAAGGTTGGTTTAAACTTTAAAAATGGAGCATGAGAGTTTGGGTGACGTCAGCAAAACCTTAGACTAAGCAAACTCCAAGCTCCTTCCCCCTGTAAAACATCTAAAGAGCAAGCAAAACAGGCTGGGCTACCCTAAGAGGAGCTTTGAAAAACAGGTTTACAGCAACCAAGTAGAACTAAAGCACCTTCAAGCTGGTAGCACAAGGGTTAAGGCATTTTCTCTTGTCTTGTGCCTCCCCACTAACCCTCCTGGTGCTCACAAGGACCTTATCTGCAGCATTCCAACCTGGCTGGGGGCTGCCAGAGGACTGGTCTTTGTTTTGTCAACTCAGACCGCAGGTGGGAAAGTGGGCACTGCTCATGAAGCCGAGGGGGCCTAGAGATTCAGAAGTCTGAAGCAAGACTCTAGGAACTTAAGACATGTACACGCCTAACAGCAAGACGCACCTCAGGCTGCGCTCTAGGCTCAGAACATGCCCAGATGTTGGTGAAGACTGCCCCGTTACAGAGCCAGTATGCAAACTAACTGGCAGAGAGATCGGTTTCCAAAGGCCCGTTTTTCAATAAGATTTGCAAGGCATACTAAGAAACAGGAACACATTGCCTATTCAAAGGCAAATACTGACAGAACCACCTGAGAGAAGCCCAAACAGTGGACTTATTAAAGACTTTTGTTGTTTATTTTTAAATATGTTTTCATTGATTTTAGAGAGAGAGGGAAGCACAGGAAGAGAGAAGCATCCATTGGCTGCCTTCTGCCTGCTCCCTACTGAGGATTAACCCTTCAGCCCCGGTATGTGCCCTGACCAGAAACTGGACCAGCCACCTCTCGGCACATGAGATAACACTCAACCAACGGAACCACCAGCACAGCCAGGGCTACTAAACCTCTAATAACTACCTTAAATATTCTTCAAAGACTGTAAGAAAACAACGAAAGGGCATCAGGAAAATGATGTGGGCAGAGGTGAACACTACAGAAACCAAAAAGTTCTGGAGCTGAAAAATACAACTGAAATGAAAATCACACAAGGGATTCAATAGCAGATCTGAACAAACAATAGAAAAGAATCAGCTACCAGAGCCTAAGAAACCTTTGGCGCACATTATGGAAGTCCCCAAAGGAAAAGAGAAAGGGACAGAGATGTTAGTTGAGGAAATGATTGTCAGGAACTTCCCAATTTGATAAAAGACATGAATCTCCAAGTCCCAGAAGCTCCAAATATAATGAACTCAAAGAGACCCACATCAAGACCCAAGAGACAAATGTCAAAAACTAAGTCTTGAAAGCTGTAAGAAGTAACTTGTCTTCAATAAGACTATCAGCTGATTTCTATGCAGAAACTTTGAAAACCAGAAAACAGATGAAAACTCAACCGAGGATTCTATATCCAGGGAAAATATCCTCAAAAAAATAAGGTAAACAAAAGCTGAGGAACTTCATTCTCAATTAGACCTGACCTACATGAAATGCTGAAGGAGTCATTCAAGTTAAAATGAAAGGACTTTAATAACCTCCAGGAAAGGGCAAATTACAAAGCCAGCATTGCAATTCTGCTTTGTAAATACACAGAATTTAAAAGACAAATGCATAAAAATTATAAATCTATGTTAGCATGTGCACAACGTTTAAAAGGTAATCTGTAAAAACAACAAGGTCAATAGAGAAACAGCTGTGTAGGAGTGGTTTTTATATATACTTGAAGTTAAGATAGTATAAATTCAAATAGATTCTAAACTTGAGGATGTTACATAATCCCCATGGTAACCACTAATAAAAATAACTAATGCAAAGTATACACAAAGGGGAAAAAGGGGAAAATCAGACATGTCACCTAAGAAAAACAGTCAATAAAAACTAATGGGGGGGGCAATGGTAAAATATGTACACATATAATAATTTAATTGAAAAAATAAGGGGGGAAAAAAAAAAACTAAGCAGAACTGGGGGAGGGGGAGAACTAATGGAAGAGCCCTGGCCAGTGTGGTGCAGTGGCTAGAGCTTAGGCCAATGCTCCACAGGGCCACAAGTTTGATTCCTGTCAAAGGCACATACCTGTATTGCAAGTCCAATTCCCTGTCCAGGTTGGGGGTGTGCAGAAGGCAACCAATTGACATCAAGGTCTATCTCTCTGTGTATGTCTCTCTTCCCCCTCCCTCCCTTCCACTTTCTAAAAATGGAAAAAATATCCTTGGGTGTGGATTAACAACAAAAAACTAACCGAAGAAACAAGGGACAGCCAAAACTGGTTTAGCTCAGTGGATAAAGCCTCGGCCTTCGGACTGAAAGGTCCCAGGTTCAATTCCAGTCAAGGGCATGTATCTTGGTTGCGGGCACATCCTCAGTAGGGGGTGTGCAATAGGCAGCTGATCGATGATTCTCTCTCATTGATGTTTCTAACTAATTCTCTACCTTTCTGTAAAAAATCAATAAAATATATAAAAAAGAAATAAATTTATTCAAGGAGGCACAACACTTATCCACTGAAAACTACAAGCTACTGCCGAAAGAAATTAGAGACAAACATAAATAGAAAGATTTCCTGTGTCTATGAATAAAAAGATTTAATATTAAGATCTCAAACTACTGAAAATGACCCAGTTATTCAATGTAATCCATATTCAAATCCCAATGGTACTGGAAGTGCTAGTCACAGTGATCAGACAAGAAGAAAACATACAAGGAATCCAAATTGGAAAGGAGCAAGTAAAACTCATTAGTTGCAGATGACATGATATTGTTCACAGAAAACCCACAAAAAAACTAGATTTAATAAATGAATTCGGCAATGTACAAAATTAACACCCAAAAATCTATGGCATTTTTATTTTTTTTTAATATATTTTATTTATTTTTTACAGAGAGGAAGGGAGTTAGAACTGGTTTCGGCTATGGCATTTTAAAATATATATATTTTATTGATTTTTCACACAGAGGAAGAGCGAGGGATAGAGAGTTAGAAACATCGAAGAGAGAGAAACATCGATCAGCTGCCTCTTGCATATCCCCTACTGGGGACGCACCCACAGCCAAGGCACATGCCCTTGACTGGAACTGAACCTGAGACCTTTCAGTCCGCAGGTTGACGCTCTATCCACTGAGCCAAACTGGTTTCGGCTCGGCTATGGCATTTTTATAAACCAATAATGAATTTTCAGAAAGAGAAATTGAACAATCCCATTTACCATTGTCACAAAAAAAATTAAGATACTTAGGAATAAACAACAAGGAGGTAAAAGATTTGCACTCAGAAAACTATAGAATGTTGGAAAAAGAGACAGGAAGATATAAACAAGTGGAAGAATATACCTTGCTCATAGATTGGTAGAATCATCATTAAAATGTCCATACTACCCAAAGCGTCTACAGAATCAATGCAATCCTTATTAAATTACCAACGGCATATTTCACAGATCTAGAACAAATTACTCCAAAAATTTATATGGAACCAAAACAGACCCAAATAGCTTCAGCAATAGAATAAAACAAAAAACAAAGAAGGATCATGATACCAGATATCAAGTTATACTACAAAGCTACTACACATTCTCTATCCATGTTCTATGCTCTTCCTTGTTTTAAAGTCCTAAGTATGTTTTTGCTGCAGTCAATACATTATTGCTTGTTTTTCTAATAAATCCTATATAATAAAAGCCTAGGTGGTGACATGCCTTTACACGACATTGTTACAAGATGACCTTGCCGTGACACTGTCCCAAAATTGGCCACTCTCACGTCATCACAAGATGGCTGCCACAAGTTGGCCAGAAAGGGAGGGCAGTTGGGGGCAAACAGGCCAGCAGAGGAGGGCAATTGTGGGTGATCAGGCCGGCCAGAGAGGGTAGTTGGGGGTGATCAGGCGAGCAGGGGAGGGCAGTTGGGGCAACCAGCCTGCAGGGGAGGGCAGTTGGGTGTAATCAGGCCTGCAGGGGAGGGCAGTTGGGAGGGGACCAGGCTGGCAGGGAAGGGCAGTTAGGAGCAATCAGGCCTACAGGGGAGAGCAGTTAGCGGCAACGTGGCTGGCAGGGGAGGGAGGGCAGTTGGGGGGAACCAGGTCTGCAGGGAAGGCAAGTTAAGGGTGACCAGGCCGGCAGGAGAGGGCAATTAGGGGTAACCAGGCCAGCAAGGGAGGGTAGTTGGGGGAGACCAGGCTGGCAAGGGAGGTAAATTAGGTGTGACCAGGCCAGCAAGGGGCAACAAGGCCTGCAGGGGAGGACAGTTAGGGGCGACCAGGTCGGCAGGGGAGAGCAGTTAGGGGCAATTGGGCCAGCAGGGAAGCAGTTGGGCATCCATCAGGCTAGCAGAAAAGTGGTTAGGGGGTGATCAGGCTGGCAGGCAAAAGCAGTTAGGGGCAATGAGGCAAGCAGGCAAGTGGTTGGGAGCCAGCAGTCCTGGATTGTGAGATGGATGTCCCAGATTGGAGAGGGTGCAGGCTGGGCTGAAGGACACCCCCTCTCCCATGCATGAATTTCGTGCACTGGGCCTCTAGCATAATAAAAGCATAGTATGCAATTATGCTTCTATTATAGTAGAGTTCGACGAGTTTGACCAGAGGGCGAGGCAGGCCAGGGACAGGGAGGGAAATCCCACATGGTGGAGGCAGCAGGCGGCCAGCAGCCTCTAGAGACCCTACCAGTGCACAAATTTTGTGCACTGGGCCTCTAGCTGCTTAATAATAGCGAATGCAAAACCATCCTATGGAATACCAAGCATCAAGTGAAAAGAACGAGGACCAGCATCCACCACCATGAATACAAGACACAGTGAATGACAACAGCAAATGCACAAACTTATACAGTGGTACTGTTTTAAAAAAACAATGCAAAGCCACAAAAACAACAACAAACAAAAAAACCACACTACACGTTTTTTACTTGTATGCTTATGCATAAAAAAGCATAAAAGTCATATGAGAATGTTCTGAACTATTGCGCACTCAAAAATAACTGTCAACCAGGCCCGGAGCAGCCGGGTCGGGTGCGACCAGGCCCGGAGCAGCGGCTGCCAGGCTGGGAGCGGCCAGACCCGGAGCAGCAGCTGCCAAGTCCAGAGCAACTAGGTCGGGAGCGGCAGTGACCAGACCCGGAGCAGCTGGTTGTGGAACGAACCAGAGCAACAGAGGCCAGGCCCGGAACAGCTCGCTCCTCGCCTGCCCCTGCCCCACGGCTGCCTCTCAGACATGGCTGGAAACTTTGGTGGGAACTTGAGGGTCTGCTGAATCAAGTGATGAAGGCTTAGATCTGGATGTGTTGAGTTGGTATAGGGCTGGGGTGTTGATCTGTGAGTGCCTTGGGTGGGGCCTGGATGAGGCTGGTTGACCTATTTGGAAATGTCTTTTGTGTGAAATGTATCATTGGGCATGTGGAGGTATTATTGATATGAGAAAATGCTAAGTAACTGATTTACTATCTGAAAAGGGATTTACTATCGGGGAAAGGGAGGGAGGAAGAGACTGAACATAAACTGTGCACCTATGGATGAGGACAATGGGGGATGGGGAGGGGGCGGAGGGTGGGGTGGGAACCTGGTGGAGGGGGGGGAAAATGAGGAACCTTTGTAATAATATGAACAATAAAGATTGATTTAAAAAAAAAATAACTGTCAAAGGCTGACAAACCAATGCATGAGCCTCTAAGCCCTAACTTCCAGGGCCCCTCATCCGACGCCGTCCTTCCCTACCTGGCCCCCCTGCAGCAAGCTCCCGAGCGCTGACCCGGTCCACCCCGGGCTCCAGGCCAGTCCCCCGCTCCCTTCCTGGCCACTACCACGCCGGCGGCCAGGGAGCGGCACTCACCAGACACGGGTGAAGGGTCCCTCTTGGGCTGCAGGCGACTGGTCTGGGGCAGGAACGGGTTGTTGAGCCTGCGGGGATTGGTAGGGTCAGGAAGAATCCGGGCCCTAGGTCGCCCCTCGGCCCGGCCCGCGGCTCCACGCAAGGCTGCTCACCCGAACGTATTGGGCTCCTCCACCACCTTCATCTTGGCGGCGTCCGTGAGCGCGGGTCCTGTGGGGAACAGGGCGTGAGGAGGCGGGAAAGGGTCGCACGGGGCTGGGGGATGCGTCGGGAAGGGGCGCGGGGTCCCCGGAGCCTGGGCAGGGCGCGCCAGGGGCAGGACACTAACCATCCGCCGCGAGCGCCAACAGCAGCAGCAGGCGAACCAACGCGGCCGCCATCACTACGGACGCCGGCAGAACGCGCGGTCACGTGGGGTGCTGCGGGGTCACGTGGGCGCTGTCGGATCACGTGAGTGCCGGAAGTAGTAGTAGTAGTGCCTGTCGCAGGCTTAGCGCGTGTAGCCGGGCTGCGGTGGAGGGGCTTGCCGGCCGGTTTCCATAGTTCAAACCAGGTCTCCGGGCCCCGGTTTCCACTATGGGCCGCCGGCGGGCAGCGCGCGGGCCGGGGGCCGAAGGCAGCCGCACTCGGCGCCCCGCAGGCCGCTCCCTGGAAGCGTTCGCCGAGGACGTGAGCGTCGCGCTGCGCGGTAGGTGGGGTGAGATCCGGCCGCGGACCCGGGGCTGGGGTCGGAGGCCCAGGGCAGGTCGGCGGAGCCGCGCGTGACCCGGTCCCCTTCTCTGCCCGGTGCAGCGTCCGTGGAGTCAGAGACGGCCGAGGACGCGGACAGCCGGAGCCCGGCGCCGCTGCCGTGCACGCTGGCCATGTGGGAGCTGGGCCACTGCGACCCCCGGCGCTGCACCGGCCGCAAGCTGGCCCGCCTGGGCCTGGTGCGCTGCCTGCGCCTCGGTCACAGGTTCGGCGGCCTCGTGCTCAGCCCCATGGGCTCCCAGTACGTGTCCCCCGCTGACAGGTAGGCGGGAGAGGCCGGGGGTGAGAGTGGGAATGGGCGGGGTGCCTGCCTGGACCCTTATCTTAATAAGCCCCCGACTCTGGCGCATCATTCTGGTCAGGGTTCACCTATTTATAGCTGTCTGTCTAGTTTGCACCAATTGCCTAGCGTAGAGCCCATATATAGAGAGAATAGATCTCAAATAAATGTTTGTCACGTGAAGAAACGAGCTTGTTCTAGTTCCCTAGCTGACTCAGTTTGGCCTATGAAGGACCCCTGGAAGTTGTTTGGGGCAGGGGAGTGATGCTATTGTATCCCTAGTCAGACCAGCCTCCAGGGACATACCTGTTCTAGGGCCGTCACCAAGGTGATGCCGGCCCCAGAACCCTATGCTGCTCCTGGCAGACAGCTGGTGGCACAGTCGGGTGTGGCTGTCATCGACTGCTCCTGGGCCAGACTGGAGGAGACGCCCTTTGGGAAGATGCGGGGCAGTCACTTTCGGCTGCTGCCCCACCTGGTGGCCGCCAACCCCGTGAACTACGGCCGGCCCTGCAAACTGTCCTGTGTGGAGGCTTTTGCGGCTACCTTCTGCATCCTGGGTGAGTGTCGGAGCCTGGCGGCCTGGCTATGCCCCCAGCAGTGTGTTTTCTACTGGCAAGTCCCAGGGGAAACGTGAGGGTGTGGGCAGAGGTGGTTGATATGGAAAGGTGAGGGTTTCTATCCCAATTCCCACCTAAAAGTTTCCCCACTGTGGGGTTGAGGTGGCAAAATGAATAGCTGGCCTGCAGGCACTCAGGTTTGGCCTGTTATCTTGGCACCTCTGCCCTGAGAGTCCGCCATCACCCTGGAACTCATCCTCAGGGGATTTATGGTCCAGGGGCATTCGGTGGGCTGCAGAGGCAGGCATGGGCTGTCTGGCCTGGAGGATGGCGTCTGGCGGGCGCTTTTAGCTCCTGGGACCGCATTGGGGACGCTGGGGGCACGCTCAGGATTGGAAAGGGATTGACACCCTTCCTGGGTTTCCTGTTTCTGCGGCATCAGGCTTCTCAGACCTTGCTGTCATTTTGCTGCGCAAGTTCAAGTGGGGCAAGGCCTTCCTAGACCTGAACCGTCAGCTCTTGGACAAGTACGCAGCCTGCTGTGGGCCGGAGGAGGTGCTGCAGGCAGAGCAGGAGTTCCTGGCCCACGCTAAGGAGCGTCCCGAGGAAGAGATCGGTGAGGCCGGGCCCGGGTGGGAGCCCCCCGGGTGGGAGCCAGGACCCTCCGTGCCTGCCACCTCTCTGAGCAGCTCTGGGGAGGAGGGCTGGATTCTGCTCAAAACTCACCTACGATACACTTACGATACACTATCCTCTCTGCTCCCTCTGTTCAGATCCCTTTGATGTGGATTCAGGTCGAGAGTTTGCAAATCCCAACAGGCCCATGGCTAGCACCCGGTAGGTCCTTAGGCTTCCCAGTTTCGTGACAGCTCAGACCCAGGGCTGTCCTCAGCCTCTGGCCTCAGCCCTTCCTGCTCTGCAGAAACGGGGTGGGAGGGTTGACTTTGGAAATGGGGGTATGGACATCCCACTGAGAGAGGTTTCGGTTTCAAGAACACGGGGCCTATGAGGAATATGTCCCCAGCCTGGGGGCTTTTGTGGGTCAGATGGTGCCTTTAGTGAAACAACTACTTCCAGGTCGCCCAGGGACAGTGATGACACTGACAGTGAGGAGGAGTCTGAGGAACATGGGCCTGAAGCTGAGGACGGAGACTGCAGCAGCCCAGAAGAGGAGGAGACTCGGGAGCAGGGGTCAGAGGCCAGGGCCCCTGCCGAGGTTTGGAAAGGAATCAAGAAACGGCAGAGAGACTGAGGTTCCAGACTTGTATTTTTCAAGGCAGAGCGACGAGGAAACAGAGACAGCAGCAGAACTGGGGGAACGACAGGCCTGGTGGCCCTGGCTCATTGCACCTGCGAGCAGCACTGGCTGTGGGTGCTCTCCCAAGGCTCTGTCACAGCCTTGCTCTGGGTCCGGCCTCAGAGTCCCTAATGAAGCGGCAGCAGGGAGACTCCATGAGCCTGTTTCTTTGCACTCGGCCTGGGCACTTGGGGGAACTTTCCGTCTCTAGTGAGGCAGACCCTGGCCGGAAAGGTCTGGGCAGTGGGGGTGGCGGGCCGTGGAGTAGGTCTTGTGTGGGCGCGAACGTGGGGGTCTGGAGACTTACGATACTCTTAGCAAACCTCCATACGCCCTTCGTGGTGGAGGGTTCTGGAGCCCAGAGAAGCTGAGGGCACTGGCCGTCCTCTCCCTCTGCCTGGTGCCCTGGGAGCTGCTTCACTCAACGGTTCAGACTCAAACGCTGGCCTTCCTGCCTCAGCCTAGTGAGTGCCCTCCCCCAACCCCAGCTTCTAAGACAACTCTGCTGCAGCACTGGTGACGTTGGGGATGGACATTCTTAGCTGGGAGAGTACCGTCTGGTTTACTGCGGGATATTAAGCAGAACCCTTGAACTTTGTCCACCGGTACCAGAAGCATCCCTCCTTCAGCCTCCATGTGTGACAAATAAAAACATCTCCAAACAGGACCTAATGTCCCCTGGAGGGCAAAGCCTCCCCTCCACTGGGAATCGGGTGCCTGGGGCACTGGAACCCCAGGAGGCAGGTGAGGGAGCTCACCTGGTGGCCAGGCTACCTATATTCCCTGTCCAGGGGGTAGCTGCTGGCCAGGCCCCGCCAAGTTGGCCGCCCAGTTACAGGGTTGGGGGGTGCTTGCTGGGAGCAGGGTGTTCATAGCACATTCCACATGGACACACCAGCGCAGACAGGAGCTGGGGGACCCAGCTATAGCACAAATGCCACATAGCAGGGGAGGGGGCACCACAGCCCTGGCTGCACTAAGCTGGTCACAGGGTGAGGTGACACTGTGGGGACTTGGGGGGCAGTCTGGGGCTCACAGCTGCTGGGGTCTCAGGGGTCGGCCTCCATGAATTTCTCCAGCTCCCTGAGTCTCTTGACAAACTCCTGTGCCTCCCGGTTGGTACGGCCCTCCAGCATCCTCAGTGCAGACCTCACTGCAGGCAGGAGGGCAGGGGCAGCCTCAGGCCCTGCCAGCCCTTACACCGTCCGCCCCCACCCTGGTTCCCCCCTTACCCTGGGCTCTGGGCCGGCGCAGGTGCAGGGTGATGGGCTGCCCAGTCCTCGTGCTCCCCCCGACCTGGGGCCGCACGAGGCCGCCGAGGCCGCCCAAGCCGAGAGCCGCCTCCCCCGCGAAGTCGTTGGTGGACAGCCAGTCGTGGTCCATGACGGTGAAGAGCACACAGGCACCTCGACGGTGGCACGCCTCTGCTGGCACGGAGCTGCAGGGGGCAGAGGGGTCACCCAGAGCCCCGCTCCCTGCCGGGCCGGGCGTTGGGCAGGCGGGGCGGCACTCACAAGTAGAAGACTTCATCATACACCGGGTGCAGCGTCCGGCTTTTGACCTGGGTCCTCTGGCTGTGGACCAGCGGGAAAAAGTGCGGGGGGCCCAGCTCCACGATCACAAAGGGGTCGCTCAGGCCTGGGGGACAGGGCTGTGAGCAGACTGCCACCGTCCCACTGGCCTGGCCCACCTGGCCGTGCCTCTGCCCCTTACCGTTAGCGTCCAGGGGCAGCAGGTCAGCGGCGTGCAGCACTTCCACCACCAGCCGCTGCTCGGCGGCCTCGTAGTAGCAGCGCACGCTCAGGCGCCCGCACCGGCTATGCTCCAGTGACCTCTGCGAGAAGGCGGGGCCCGTGAGCTCAGCGGGGGCTGGGGGGGGGGGAGGCTGTGTGCCCGCTCCCGCACCGTGTACCTGCTTGAGCTTGTCCAGGTAATACTGCTCGATGCACTCGCGGGTGGAGCACTTGTGCAGGCGCAGCTCCTCCTCCAGCCTCTGCGGGGAGAGGAGAGAAGGTGGGTGCCAGCTCCTCCCTGAGGCCCGGGGGCTGGCGCAGGGCCGTGGCCCAGGTCAGGCCTCACCTTGTAGCTTCCGTCCCTCAGGTTCTCCAGGGGCAGACCCTGTCCATCTGCGTGGAAGAAGGTGACCAGGGCCTAAGGCAGGGCAAGAAGGGAGAGACGTGAGGCCGTGGCATGTGCTGGGGACGGAGGACCAAGACAGGTGGAGCCTTGAGTTTGCATTGCACCAGGATGTTAGGAGCCTGGGGCAGAGACACCTGTCACACCAGAAGCTGTCACACCTGTCATAGCAAAAGCCCCCAGAAGCTTGGGAAATGCTGGTGCCGGCGGCCAGGCATGCCTTAACAGGTAGCGCAGGTGCTGCTGACCCAGGTGGGCTGGCAGGGGGAAATGCCCTGTGGGTGCTTAGAGGAAGAGCTCTCCAGGCCTGACAAGCCGTGCACCTTGGCCTGGGGCAGCGGGGCCCAGGGGAGGGCGGCGGCCTTTCCCCCTGCAGCCCAGCAGAGGGGGCACGTCCACAAGGCCCTACCTCCAAGGTGAAGTGGAAGCGGCTGTAGAAGTCGGCAGAGACGTCCAGGTTGGTGCCCAGCGCCTGCAGAATGGCCTGCAAGAGCAGCTCCCAGAGGGCCTCCAGCACCCTGCAGGGACACGGCCTCGGTGACTGGCCCCTGGCCCGCCCCGCTCCCCCGGCCCAGCCCGTACCTGTCCAGGTTCTCCTTCACCAGCAAGGCGTTCAGCAGGGCCAGTTTCTCGTCGAGGTATTTCATGAGCGGGGCCACGGCCTGCGGGGAGGGTCCTCAGGGCCAGACTGCACCTGGGTCCCCCTCCTACACACTCACACACACACACACACACACACCTCACCGGGCAGAGCCCTCAGCCGGCCAAGCACTCACCTCGTCGTTCTGGATGGAGTCAGGCGAGAGGCTGATGTGCTGCACGTACTTCCTGATGTCACCCACCATCTGAGGGAGAGCAGCGCTCAGCACGGAGGGGAGCGGGGGGCGAGGGGGAGCCGGTCCCTATCCCGCCTTCCCTGCCCACCTTGGAGGTCAGGTGCGCGGTCACCGTGCAGGCCTCCCGCTGCAGGTCCTCGTCCAGGGCCTGCGTGCAGTTGAGCAGGGAGCGCGGCAGCCCTCCTGTGGGCCCCGCGGCCCCCTCCGGCCACGCCAGGCCTCGCAGTGCCTGGCCGACCGCCCGGCGCAGGAGCTCCACGTTGTTGAGGACCACGCAGAGCTGGAGAGGAGCCGGAGGGTGTGTGTTGGGGGGGGGGGGGGTTGGGAGAAGGTTAGTGTTCCTGTGGTCATGTGGGGGCCCCACCCACCTCCTACCCCCATCCGCCCGCCTGTCAGCCCGCTCACCGGCTCGCTCACTGCCTCGCCTGAGGCCCGGGGCTGAGCGTCCACCTTCTTCCGCAGCAGCTGAGTGTAGAAGAGGGCGGCCTCACACAGGTCCTGGGGGGACACGGGCGCGAGAGCTGTGGCCACCCCTGGCCCTGCTGCCCCGCGGACCCCGACCTGTTCTCGGGCTGCAGTTCCCACCTGGCTAAGCTGGGTGCCCAGCCCCTGGGCCTGGACGGGGTCTGGCCACTCTAAGCAGGTCCACAGCTCCTGGATGTGGCTGAAGCAGAGGCTTGCAGTGGCCGCCGAGCTGCTGTGCTTGGAGTTCTCCATCGGCTCCAGCTGGAAAGGCGAAAGGCAGCCTGGGTTTCGGGGGGCCCTGGATGGGTCCCAGGACCCTCGAGCCAGGTGCTCACTCACTGTGTCCACGTCAACAGCTCCCTGAAGCCTCCATTTGGCCTGGTCCCGCAGCACCTGCAGCCAAAGCTTCACGGCAGGTAGGAATGGCACGTGGATGCCCACCAGGGCCAGGGAGCGGCTGTCCCTGCAGCAGGAGGCAGCCAGTCAGAGCACGCCCGCCTCAGGCACCCCGAGCTGGCATGGCCGAGGGCCCCTGACCTTAGGGGTACCCAGGAGAGCCTTCTGCTCCAGGGCCCTCCAGGAGGAAACTAGAGAACACGGGAGAGGGGCAGGTGCGGGAGGGGAACAGGTGTAAGGAGGGGGGAAGTGGAGGGAGGGAGTAGGTGGTGGAGGGGGGAAGGAAGGGGTCAGGGACAGGACACCCACCGGCCCAGGATGCTGCCCCAAAAGCGCTGGATGTCTGCCAGGGACAGGTAGAGCTCGAAGAGCCGGGACGCCACCTCGAGGGTCATTTTGGAGCTCAGGTCCTCGGTCAGTACCCACACCTCCTCGGCGACCTGCCCAGAACGGTGGGGTCAAGCTGCCAGCAGCAAGGAAACGGGAGAGTCTCTCCCCCAACCCCGGCCTCACCAGACGCTCCAGCTGCCGGAAGGTGAGGGTGAAGAAGTCGATCTTGATGATGCTGCAAAAGACACACCTCAGACACCTGCTCACCCGGCCCTGGCCCCAGTGGCAGCACGTGGGGGGCTGGGTGTGGGCAGCCGGAGGAGCCCTGGGTGCCACCTGTGGAAGAGGCTGGCATAGATGCTGTAGCAGGACTGCAGGTCCTCATAGATGGCGTCAACCAGCTCCACCAGCCCAGCAAGTCGCTGCAGTCCCGGCTGCAAGGAAACAGGGCTCACACTGTCCATGCTGACCTTCTGGCCTGCACCCACCTGCCACACTATCCCCCCCCAATGGCCATACCCTTTTTGAGCGGTACCTGCTCGCGAGGACTCTTGGCGTTCAGGAGTCTGTCAAACCATTCCCGGTTTCCTCTCTGCAAGGAAAGCCGTGGAGGCAGTATGGGTGGGGAGGAGAAGAAAGGCAGAGGGCCTCGTTAGAGCAGGCCCAGGGCCAGAAGGTGGGGCGCTGGCAGCGGAGGGGTGCTGGGCAGGGGCAGGCCGGGCCGGACCAGGCTAAGACGCACTTTCAGGGCAGCAGTGATGTCCGTGTTTAGCTCCGTCTCGAAGGGGCAGACTTCAAAGGAAGGCTGGAAGAGCTGCAGCTTGTCCAGACACCTGGTGGAGGAGCCACAGCTGACTGGTGGCTGCCCCACCTGGTACCCTACCCCACCGGCGGCGCTGGCGGCTGCACCCACTTCAGCAGCAGCTCCAGGCGGCGGATGGCCGTGCTGTTGGTAGCGGGGAAGTAGTCCCGGAGCTGGCGCAGCAGCCG